CAGAATTTGGAACAATTATGCACAATGCTGCATGCTTTGCCTACTTGTTCTTCATGTTTAAAGAAAAGAGTTTCTGTGCCTCCTCTTTTAAGTACATTACTAACATAATGTCTCCCTTTACACTTCTCTGTTTCTATTGAGACTCTCTAATAATTGAGAGTACCAATGGAAAGAAAGCACTTGGTAAATGCAACAGAATTTTATCTGGGCCAATGTCTTAAGGATCCACATTATTCTTACTGATATTTTTCTGGAGTATTCATTCATTTTTGAGGCAATTGATTTTATTTTTACTGATCATTGCAATATTTGCTTCGTTCTGTAAAATATGTTCTAATTTGCATTGCCTACATACATTTGCATATGTAATTTAAGTCTAACTCCAAATAGTGCATTTTCATAAAAAGAATAGTAAGATATGGAAAGAAATGGGCTCTTATGCTATTTCTGCCATTAAATAATTGTTCTTAAGCAAGTTAATCAAATGTAAGCCTTGGTTCCTTCTGTGAAGGGAATATTTGGACTATATTTCATCCAGTGCAGCCTTTAGATATACAAATAAATTGAATTTCATTCAAGATTTTATAAAGCAGAAATAGATTTTATAATTGTATACATTGTGTGGGCATTCTGTTCATTCATTCCTTAAATGTAAGTTAAAGTACTTCCTCATCTCTAAGAAGTAGGATTTTAAAAGCAGTTGGATTCTTTTAATTCTGTCTCTAACCAATATGCCTATACCTTTTTTTACCAAAAGCAAAATCAGGTAGGAGGTAATACTGAAATCAAGGGCTGTGGTCTGGAATTGGAAGGTTAGTTCTGGAAGTGTAATACTTTATTATTAAAACAAAGGAATCTGGTTAGCTTTTTCTTTTGTCTTTTGAAAATATATTTTAAAATAGAAAAATTTTACATTTACTTTTGACTTTTTAGGTACTGCAATAGAGCTTCTAGATAAGGAATTAAAAATAATATTTTTTTTTAAAGATTTTATTTATTTATTTGAGAGAGAGAATGAGAGAGAGAGAGCACATGAGAGGGGGGAGGGTCAGAGGGAGAAGCAGACCCCCTGCCGAGCAAAGAGCCCGATATGGGACTCGATCCCGGGACTCCAGGATCATGACCTGAGCCGAAGGCAGTCGCTTAACCAACTGAGCCACCCAGGCACCCAAAAATAATATTTTTTCTTTCATTTCTTCATCATAGGGGTCTCAGTTTCCCCTAGCAATCATATTAGTCATAAACATTCTGAATCTAGTATATTCTATCAAGAATTTTCCATTTCATCTTTTCATTATTTTTCTCATTTAGAAGGTTTTCATTATCTGGAGGATAGCAAGTATGTAGAGGCTTAGGGGTGATTAAAAAAAATCTTACCCACTGTTTCTTCCCCACTTCTACCAGCACTTTGTTAATCATTGAGACATTTTGCATCTCATTGACATTCTCACCATTGATTAGGATTTAGTGTGAAACTGAGACATTTTCACTAGAGTTCTGGTTCTCTGGTGTCCGAAAAACCTCATTTTGATGTTAAAACAGAAACTTCATAGCTAGTTAAAAATGATATTATTAATTCAGGTTTTATTAAGAGCATTATTCTTTTTTATTTTTAAACATTTATTATTTAAATGTGGAGATACTCCATATAAGGTTAAAATATTGAAATACATGTTGCAATGCAAGCAATACAAGTATACAAAAACATTAAAAGATGATGAACAAAAACCAATAGATCAGAGAAAGGAATCACAATAATTAAAGCAACAATAGTGGCTACCAATTGTCATATGCACGTGATGTTCTAGGCACCCTGCTAAGTACTCTACAAATATCATTTTATTCCCTCTTCCTAACGGTTTATGAAGTATGTGTTAACTGCTTTTAGGAAAATATGGAGGTCTTTATTTGAGAAATGAGACTACCAAGGGGAAAAATGATTTTCAGAGGAGTTATGTAACTTGACCTAGGACACACAGGGCCGTAATTAGCAGAGCCTGTGTTAATACACAGACTTCAGGAAACATCTACAATCTAAGCAGAGAGGGAGGAAGGAAAAAGATAAGGAAAGAAATGGTTGTAAAAAGCTAATGCTGTGGATTACCAGCTGGAAAAGTGGTGTCCCTCTACTGTTGATTGATCTAACCTTTTAAGGATTATCGACATCATAGTGTGATATGAACTGATTCTAGTGAAAAAAAAAAAAAGAGAAAACAAAGAAAGTTACTTCCCCCATTCTGGGGGGTGGGGCAAGTAACCTTCAAATACAGTCTTAAGTATTTAAAGATATTGAACAGATCATTGCCCCTAAGATTTAATAAAAAAAATTAAGTAAAAAAAGTCCTTGAATACAAAACCTTGATAAGATTTTTTTGGGGGGGGGCGCCTGGGTGGCTCAGTCGTTAAGCAGACTTAAACGTCTGCCTTCGGCTCAGGTCATGATCCCAGGGTCCTGGGATTGAGCCCCACATCGGGCTCCCTGCTCAGTCAGAAGCCTGCTACACCCTCTCCCACTCCCCCTGCTTGTGTCCCCTCTCTTGGTCTCTCTCTCTGTCAAATAAATAAAATATTTAAAAAAAAAAGATTTTTTTTTTGGCAATAATGAGATACTGTACTTATAGAAAATATTTAAGATCTATTCAGATTGAGCATGTTGGGAAAATTGAACTTGATATAATTCCTATATCCTTTATAAGGGCAGATAAATGACATCAGATTTAGTATCAATGTAATCCTTATTACTCTTTGATGTTCTTATAGATTTATTTAAGTGTTCTTCATATTTTCCTATTGTTATTCTGAGAGTATTTGAAGGTTTCAACATGATTACACAATGGATCTTTTATGTATTCCATGGAAAAACAATACCTTTTCTAAAAATGATTTAGGGCAGAGTCCCCTCATCTTTCAAATGAGGTCATGAGTTGAATGGGATAAGAAAAATTACTCCATTTATATACTGTGAAGCTGAGCCTAGAAAGAATCATCCGTGGTGGCTGACCTGAGACTCACACCTGAGCCTCTGTGATTCCAGAGCCCAAATGCTGGACCATTGCCTGTAATGCCTTCTTTCGAGATGTTGGATTTCTCAAGCTCTAGTTCTCCATGAAGCCCCCACCAAGAATCTGATTGAGAAATCAAACTATGTCTAATAGTTATATAACTTAAATAGCAACTAATGCTCTGTACTTTCACCACAAAGTATGCTATCAAGATACAGAAGCATAATCATCTTAATCGCTTTGCCTGCACAGTTTCTTTTTTTAGGCTTCTCTCTGGCAAACTTAAAAATAACTCAGCATCCCAACTAAAGTAGTTAAATAGCTTTTTTTTTTTTTTCCCTGGAAAGACAGTCTTTTCCTGCTAATTCCTACATATCCAAAATTGCAAGGTCTATTTTGGGTATTTAGTATCTTAGTACTAGCTAAGTAGATTTAACAAAGCAAAGTATCATTCTAACTCAAGGTCCTAACTGAAAACAGAAAGCACATTCACATTTGATCATTTGAATATGATCAAACCTATCTAAAGGATATATAAATCTATTTCTAACATTGTGGGTGGACTGTAGGGAAGGCACAAGGGATAGTGTAGTCTCTCTGGAGCTAGCAACAGCAGGGCTCATTACCAACCCCAGGCCTGCAAGGTGAGAGGGAGGATACCAGAACTTCAGAGGAGAGAGCTGGATGGCCGAGGCTGCTTTGGATGGAGCATAACCTTTGGTAAAGAGACACAGCCAGGCCAAGGAGATCCTCTGCAGAGTGGCTTCCCTGTCTTGCTGCGTTTCCCATACCCAACTAGAAGCCAGAGGGCAAGGTAGCCCCCTACTACGATCTAGAGAGCTTTTTCTGTCAGACTTGGAGCAGAGGACAGAAAGGTAATGCATGGATCTGGAGGGTAAAGGGAAGATGCCTAGCACAGAAATCCCAGAATGTTGGGACAGGAAGAGTGTTGTAACAGACACAAAAGATAGGCTATAAGAGTTCTGGATAAATCAGAAACTTTTTGAAGTCCTCTTACTGCTCACCAACCCTCATTTTCTCTGACTGCTACCTCCCTTCTCAACATCTTTCCCTAGGACCACCTTTTTTCCCGTGAGCTTGAAATCTTTAGCTAATTTCTGTACTCAGGATTTCATTTTCTCTCTCACTTCTTGCCCATTGTTACATTTTGCCTGATATTACCCACCCACTTTCCTTTCTGACCATGCCACCCTAAAGAGAAATAAAATCCAAAAGACAGAGGGAATTTGAGGATTGCTCTGGAATCAGAAACTGCCTGAGGAGTATCAAGGTCAGAAAGTTGTATAAATAACATAACGTAGAGTTGGGCCATAATTTTGTTTGACACCATTTTAATGCTATTATGGTTAATAGCCAATTTTATCTCTGAGAAATAATTATGTAGTTTGTATTGAAAAATATATGTGAAAACCTTTAGAAGAATGTGAAAAAAATGTCTGTGAGCAACAGGGAGCGTTTTAGGAGGATTTATAAAAATAGTGACAATTCAAGAGATCAAAGATGGACAAATTAGATTAAGAAGAATTTGGGGGGTAAAAGTTGTATTAAGACAACCAAAATGAAAACAGTTTAATGATATAATCTCGGGGTTGTGGTTCCAAGCAAGTAGGGCTTTCAAGTTCAACAATTACAACAAACTCCACTTTTCCATCTTCCTGAATATGAAAACACGGGACCAGCAGCATGTTGTTTTACATTGAACTTCCGCACATGCGATTTCTCTTGCCCTCTCCCTCTCCATTTCATCCCTATCTTTCTTTTTCTCTGTCTTGCTCTCTGTCTAGATCTCTCACTGTCTTGTTTTTTCTCTCACTCTCCTCTGTCATTTCACTAGTAGCAATTCTATTACTGATCTATTGAGGCAGTAGGAATGAGTTCAGGAAGCCTCTTTGAAGTGGCAAAAAAGACAATCTTGATTTTTTTTTTTTTTTTTTTTTTTTAGTTAACTCCGGCTTAATTCTTTAATTCTTTTGGCAGGATGGGTTGACACCCCTTCACTGTGCTGCAAGAAGTGGGCATGACCAAGTGGTAGAGCTTCTGCTGGAACGGGGTGCTCCCTTGCTGGCAAGGACTAAGGTGGGTTATTAGGGGTAAGACGGGATCTAAAGAACTCTTTAAACCAGTCTTCTGAAAATCTCTATTCTTCTTGAAATCAAAGCATCAGTCCAACGTTTTCTAGTTCCTCAATAATTGTGTGCTACAAATGAGGAATATATATCAAACTGTTTGAAAATTATTTAAAATTAACAAATTTAAAATTAAAATTAAGATTTATTGATTGTATACCTTCAGGTTCTTCCTATGTTTTTATCTGCTACTCTTCCTACAGGTGGACATTTGAATATATTTCTATTATATGTAAATGAGTGCATTATATATAAATGAGAATATTTCTTACATTCTATAGGTTTGCACTTTTATGATTCTCTAAGATGCTGTAAAATACATATAAAGTTGTCTTTTAAAGTAGCACAATTAGCAATACAAGATAGTCTTTTAGCTCTCCAGTCTTTATCTCTTAGGCAATACTAGTAAAAAGAATTACTTACCAGTGGTATTGGATGATTATATTTAGGATTAGTAGGTGATATGGAAAGCACAATTTAGGATAGGCCATCTACAAGGAACCATTAAACAAGCATAATGTTCTCTGTGGCTCAGTACATCTAGCATTTCTCGTCTTCTGTCATCAGTATGCTCCACCGTGAAGAAAACTCTCATTGAAAATCCCACTGGGAGCTGATTTGTTGGAGGCTTTCATTATAAAATATATTTTACAAGTATTATTACTGTACAGGTCCCGAGTTTCTAGCAGTACTTTGGGTTGCCAAAAAATGTCAGGGGACACAAATAAACGATAATTGCACAGAACTGTTTAATGGGATATGCAGCAACCCTCAGATCCTCAATGCAACAAAAATTTAGACAAAGAACACTTCTTACATTTTCTCTGTATTCCACCTCTCCTATCATCCCCAAGCAGATTTGGTATCAACTGATGCTGTAACTAGAGTAAGCTTGAGAAAAATAAGACAGCCGACATCAGCAAATCTTTTTCAATTTAATATTTTAATAGAATATTTATTTGAAACTATTTGGAGCAAAAACCAGCCCACACATCTAAAATATTTGTAGAATGAACTTAATCTTTAAAGATGTGCTCTACAGGCCATGAAATGGCGACTTCAAATTGTATGTATTATTTTCATTCTCATACTGATACTGTGCGTGTTGTAGAGTTTTATCTTTAAAATGTGACATTTTGGGCTGAGTAATGCAGAGATAATTGTAGAAAGTTTTTTTTAAAAGATTTTATTTATTTATTTATTTATTTGAGAGAGAGAGAATGAGCATGAGCGGGGGAGGGGGGACGAGGAGCAGAGGGAGAGGGAGAAGCAGGCTTCCCGCCGAGCCCCACGTGGGGCTCAACGCTGAGATCATGACCTGAGTCGAAGGCAGACGCTTAACTGACTGAGCCACCCAGCTGCCCCTGTAGAAAGTTTTGTTGAGTAAACTGATTGAAATTTAAATGGAAATAACAAAATTTCACCAGTCATGTTACAACCAATAAAAAGCATCTATCAAATTGAGAGTAGGCAGATTTGCTCTCCCACAAACTAAAATAATCTTATCTACAGAGTTCACTAATGAAGACAATGGATTACCTAGATGAAATTTTTTTACTGGCTTTCTTATAATATCAAATATCATGTATATGTAAGGATCTAGCATAAAATGTCTGTGGCTCCATGATTATATCCACTTTTATTCAATCATTCATCCTCAATAAAACAAAAATTTAGACGAAGCTATCATAGTAAGTAGCTACAATGCACCAGGCAGGGTTCTGATCACTAAGAAACTATCAAGATAAATGATACACAGTCTATTTGTTCAAGAAGGTCGAAATTGAGTGGGTAAGATAGATAAGGAGATAATAACAAAAAGTAGAGCTATGTTCAGGGTAAAGAACACAGAAAAGATGAACTAACCAGGTTGGTGAGGTGATACCATTTTAGCCTGTGAGTGGAATGGGCACCTAATGCCAGACTATTCTTCCCCTTCCACAAAAACTCCCAGTTTTGTATCATCCATTATTCCTTCCTGAAGCAAATATTCATCTATCTAGTTGTCGCTCTACCTCATTTTTTGAAAATGGCAAACTATGGCTCTTCTCTACAACCCCTCTTCTAATTCATGACGACTTTAATGATCTTAGGGCAGTAGATAATCTTTCTAGTTGGCCTCTCAGTTTGGTAGCTGTAAACCCTCTGGAATTTCTGTTCTAACCTCTGCCTCTCCAAACACTGCTTCTATGTTTCAGCCCCCTTTCTCTGGAACCCCAACTCCAGAAATGTGTTTATTCTCCTGAGTCCATCAGCCATTGTTTTATTATCCCTTATTCACCTTATGCCCTCGCCTCTGCCCAACAGAGCTATTCATACCACTCCCTGACATACTCATACTCACTTGCTATATTTTACCCTGATTAAATCCAACTCACGTTCTTGCAGCTGAGTGTGGTGGCTGAAAACACCCAACCATACTGCCTGGGCTCACTTTAAATTCATGATTGCTAACCTCAAGTTGGCCTTTAATGCTGCCTGACAATCAGTATATTTCCCAAGTGTATTTATTCTCATTCCCTGCTACCTTATTATTCTATACTTTTTTTCTTTCTTTAGACTTCTTAGACTTTTTTCCTTGTCTTCACTTTCCACAACACTGAAAAAATTGAAGCAATCAGGAGAGAATTTCTATAGACTCCTATCTTCCTATCTACCCAATTACATGTTTCAGCCCATATAGTCTACGTTCTCTCCTATTGCTATCATCTGACACAGTTGCTTGCTCCTCCCTTCTCAAAACACTTTCCTCTCCTTATTTGCCTTCTCGAACATTACATCCCTCTGACTTCGCTTCTCCTCAGTCTCCTTTCCTGTTCCCTCTTCACTCCCAGGTCTCTGAATGTTAGAACCCCCAGAGCTCACTCTTTGTGTATTTATCTGTACTCACTAAGAAATCTCATCCAGTTTCATCTTTAAATACTGCTTATACATTGATGACACACAACTGTGTAGCTCCAGAATTCTATATTGTAGATGTCAACTCACCATTGCTGCATAGATGTTTACTGTGCATCTCCAATTTAGTAAGTTCAAAACTCAGCTGCTGATATTTTCTGCACCCCTATTTCTAATCCCCTTGTAGTCTTATCTCAAATAATGGCCATCCCATTCTTTCAGTTTCTCAGGTCAAATACCCCATGCAGTCCTTGGCTCTTCTCTCCCTTCACAGCCTCTCACTAAACCTTGTCACATCTTCCTTCAAAATATCTCATAATTCAGCAACTTCTCAACAGTCTCATTACCACCGTCCTGGTCCTGATTACCATCAACCCTACCTGGATGATTGCAAGAGACTCTAATTGGCCCCCCTTTTTCTCTTTTAACCCTGTTCAGTATATTCTCAACAGAAACCAGAGTAATCCTGTTGTCCTATACCTTCCACAAGCCCCCCATCTCACTCAGGGTGTAAGTCAAAGACTCTATTCAAACTAGCAGCCCTGTTACCTGAGTTCCCTTCCTTATTCACCCCTCTTATTCACTCACCTTCAGCTTCATTCTCCTCCATACTCTTCATCAGTCATGCTCGGTGTGGTCTCAACATGACATGCTTGTATTTGCTTTTCCTCACCCTCAAATGTTCTCCCCCCAGATCAGCAGGACCTGTTTTCTTACTGTCATCATGTCTTTCATTAAAACTCACCTTCTCAGTGAGGCCATTTCTGGCTAGCCTATCCATAAAGCACTCATATACACAAACTCCCTTGGCCATCCTATGCTTTAGTTTTCTTTTTCACACTGGTGGCCTTCTAACATACTATCTATTTTAATTCTTATTCTTTTTGAATTGTCTGACTACTACCCAAAATGTGACCCTCAGTGAAGACAGGGGTTCCCTGTCTGTTGTGTTCCCTGTTGTATCCTTAGTACTTGATCAGGGTTTGAGTAGGTGCTTAGCAGATATTTGTAAAATGTAACAAAGAATTAAATGGTGGAGATTTTATTTTCCACATAACTTTTAAGTGGATCAAACAACATTAAAGTTTGATAGAATATCAGAGAAACATGCCACGCAACCCTCCAAACATTGCCAAGGCCTGAATTTCTTCTACACTTTGCCCTTACACTATCTTCCCCCAATGCATAAATACCTTCTTATCAACCTGCTGTTCTTTCTCAGTTCATTTTGTGAATTTTTGAAAATATAAAAGCAATAATTATGAGTGAAGAGTATTTCAAAAACCAAGAAAGTATTAATAATTTCAAAATCACATATACTTCTACCACCCACAAACCACTACAAATAAGATTTTGCTGTGTTTGATTTTAGCTGTCCTTCATTGATGAAATCACGCTCCTTGTTGAAAATATTGGGCTGTTGGCAGATTCTTTCTTTTTATCCAGACACAGTTTTTGCTTCTTTGAATGTAATGACTGCCAAGCTGGATTCTTGGTCAACAATTACTTCCTAGTGACTGTATTTGCATTATTTGCATGGATTATTAAGAAAAGACCATATTCCACTCATTTTAATGGGCAAATGTTTTCTAATTTAGTTTCTTCCCTAATTTTACATATTTTTTTCTCATAAGCTTAATTATTTAACTTTAAAAAATAAGAGTCTTACCTAGACTGAAAATCCTCAGTGAATTACCCAGCCACCTTGTTTTTTTTTTTTTTTAATTTTTAAAGATTTTTATTTATTCATTTGACAGAGAGAGAGACAGTGAGAGAGGGAACACAAGTAGGGGGAATGGGAAAGGGAGAAGCAGGCTTCCCGCTGAGCAAGGAGCCTGACGCGGGGCTCGATCCCAGGACCCTGGGATCATGACCTGAGCTTAATGACTGAGCCACCCAGGGCCCTAACCCTACCATCTTGTGTCCCTGCTATTGACCTTCTCTAAGAATTAAGACTAGAGCTGTTTTGGGCAGTATCGCTGAGGATAAATTTATATTATCCTCAAAGTTTAAAAGTTGGGACACATAGTCTACATTTGCCTCACACTTTTCTAACTCTTACCTGACTGCTTTCTCCAAGTCCAATTCACGTCTCATGATAGGAAAAAGGCAGCACAGAATTTTAGAGCGGCATGGATCTAAGAGGTCATCAAAATATCTTTCTTTCCCTCATGCACCCACTTGCTCCTCCTTCATCTTCACCCTCCTCCATTTAGAAGTAAAGAAACTCTTGCAGAGAGACTAATTGAATGGAATTGAATACAAATAATTTAAGCCTCGGCTATCACTTGTTTTATATGTCTAATATTGCCTTAATAATTGTGAGATCCATCTGAATTGTCACACAATACTGTGTATTTATTCACAAAAGGTATAATAATTTGTGTTTTTGCCTAAGAATAGCATAATCATGAAATTAAATGGTCTCTTAGCTTCCCTCGGCACCCCACATAATCCACTGTACATGTAGATGTCAAATGGGGATTATTTTTTCCTCTGCTACCAACTGTGCCAGGTGATCAAGAGTTGACTTTGCTGTGTTTTACAACCTGGAAGTCATGGCTGAAATGTGGACTTGGTTTCATTTTGTTTTGATGTGCAGAATGGGCTGTCTCCACTTCATATGGCTGCACAGGGGGACCACGTGGAATGTGTGAAGCACCTGTTACAGCACAAGGCGCCTGTTGATGATGTCACCCTAGATTACCTGACAGCCCTCCACGTTGCTGCACACTGTGGCCACTACCGTGTGACCAAACTCCTTCTGGACAAGAGAGCCAATCCAAACGCCAGAGCCCTGGTAAACCTGGCCTAGTCCACATTAACAGCATACAGACCGAGACGAGTATACCACAGTGACTGACCAATGGCCACCAGCAAAGCATGGTTACAGATCTGTAGTTAATTATCTGAGTTCGTTACCTCCCACAAGTAGCCTGCCTACTTCATGCCTTCACAGTTTGCTATTAAGTGATGGTGAGCGAGGACAGATTGAGGAAAACACCAAGGCAACATTTCCACAACTCGCGAGCTGCAGATAGATATGAAACCTCTGGAGTGATAAGCAATTTTAAATGGCAAATAGAAGTTGAGAATAGGAAATCAGAAAATAAATTCTAAACACCTCTAGATAGAGTCAGAATAAAAGTGTGAACAAGTTGAATGTCATTAATCTCTATTTGGGAGGAAAAAAAAAAGGTTTTAATTTGGTGAACAGATTTGACCATGTAAGATACAGTAAAATGTAAGCCTGTATAGAGTTCACTTAGAGAATGTCTTTATTGACCTGATTCCCTAAACACAGTCTAACGTAAAAGTGATGCTTAGCATTTTACTGCTCCGGGAAGCATTTTATATAAATTATTCCAGGAATTGCTCAAGAGAAATCTACATGAGGCCGTCCCTAGAGCAGCCTCTGTATTTCCCAAGGTCTAATATTGAACAAATCTTCCTTGCTTCACTTACATTCTAACAATAATCATCAGAAGTATTAGGCATGTACTAATTTATGCTCTTGTTTCCTAATTCTCAAACTAAAAGCAATTGTTTTATTCTATACATTTACATGGTTAATGCTGCTTTAAATTAGTCTTCAGACAATATTTAAAATGAGAGAATGCCATAAGAATTATTAAATAATAAATCTTAGTTTTATTAGAAAATCTTCCATTGAAATCCATTTATTCCTTATTGCCCAGGAAGCAAATATACTTTTAGGGTTATATGTAATTATGAGAGGATACTTATTTTCTCATAAGGAGGAAAATACTCATTTTCAATAGGGTAGTGGTCAATAAGCTTATAAAACATTACAATCTCATAATTAAAAATCATTTGAGTGCTACACATTTTTGTCTGGCTTACTACATAGCTCATAAACAGGAAATGACTTAACAAACATTGTGAAGAGTAGTAAGTCATTAGGTTAAGTAAGACAATATGCTTTCGTGAGAACTGTGAAGTACAGAAAAATATTGACTGATGATCAGTCCCCACTGGGACAAGCAAATAACTAACTGGCAGAATAGGTATAACTATTCTATATGTAGGGATCATTGTTCAAATAAAAATTTAATACTTACACATAACGATTAAGCATGTTAACAAATTTTTATGTAATTGTCCCCAATTCCTACACATTGCCTAGTTTGGAAAGTTGAAAATGTCTTAGAGACTTCTCCACATTCCTTTGCCTCTGAGAGATATCCTCTTCCAGTTATTCCAGAAATTCTCCTGAAAATATTCAGGAACTTAATAATCATGTTTTTTTTTTTTTTAAGATTTTATTTATTTATTTGACAGAGAGAGACACAGCGAGAGAAGGAACACAAGCAGGGGGAGAGGGAGAGGGAGAAGCAGGCTTCCTGCAGAGCAGGGAGCCCAATGCGGGGCTCGATCCCAGGACCCTGGGATCATGACCTGAGCCGAGGCAGACGCTTAACGACTGAGCCACCCAGGCGCCCCAATAATTACGTTTTTATAAAATAAAATGTATCTGATTGGCATTTGTTATAAAAACATAAGAAATGTAACTTCTGGATGTCAAATATTATCAGCATAGTGATTTCTGGTAATATACAACAATTCCTTACAAAAAGTTCTTAATGGAAGATATATAACTTCTGAATATGAAAAATTATTAATGTAAATAATGATTTCTGCTAATTTGCAACACCCCCTCCCTGAAGCAAATGGTAGCAAAGCTGAAACATTTATTGTAGAGACAGTCATGCCTGTAGGGTGTTGAAGTAAAACAGAGCAGCAGTTTGTAGGCTTTAAGAAATGGCCTTTCATCAGATACATACATGCTTATCTTCCATGCACCTTCAAGCCATTTCATAACCCAACCCATCAGTATACTTGAAAACACCTTAGAACTTCTAAACTATCATTGCCCCTCTAGTTTTCCTTCTTTGCAGAGCAGGCCCATGTAGTTTTCTTTACTTCTATTTTTCTCGATAACCACACAAAAAGAATTATATACCAGCCCACCACATAGCAGCCAAGTTCAGTGCCTACAGGAACACACCCCCACTTTTCTTTCCAAATCCCAGCACCTACAACATCAGAAGAAATGGTTAACATTACGTGACGATGTAACATTATTGCCTGCAATGTGCCCGCATGGAGTTGTGTGAGGATCGTTTCTGCATGTTTTCAACTAACTTGATTGTCTTTTGCACAGAATGGTTTTACTCCACTGCACATTGCCTGCAAGAAAAACCGCATCAAAGTCATGGAACTGCTGGTGAAATATGGGGCTTCAATCCAAGCTATCACAGAGGTAGAACAATGTTTCAGCTTGTCACGAAACATTCCTTCTCTTACTCCTTCTTCCCCTTCCTGTCGCCCATCCTCTGTCCTCTTCACTCAAGTCTTATTTATCTGAAGAAGTCCCCATGGCCCCCACCGGTGCAGAGGAGTAAAACTGCTGTTGCTTTGTTTCGCAGTCTGGCCTCACACCAATACATGTGGCTGCCTTCATGGGCCACTTGAACATTGTCCTCCTTCTGCTGCAGAACGGAGCCTCTCCAGATGTCACTAACATTGTGAGTATGGCTTGGGTCAGAATAACCACAGGGAGAAAGAGCGAGAGGAAGAGAGAGTATGGCTGTTGGTAGGGATGTTTGTGTGTATGTCATCAAAGCGAGCGGCTGAGCTTTGAGCAGAGCCTCCATGATCCCAGGTTACTGAAGTACTCACTAGAACTTCACTGAGAAGAAATGGGTTAGGAAAACAAAATGGGAGTTGGGGAAGCTGTTTCAGCTCCCTGGTGCAGATGGATTAAACATGCATCTGAAATACATTTATGAAAACAAGATACATTTTGAATGAAGGATTGGTTGGAATAAAATCCAAAGGACTCATTCCAGTTGCTTGAGTGAATTCTATTCCTGGTAATTTTGATTAACATGTCAAGTCAGTACCACCATCAATCATAGGAAATAGTTAACCAGAGATAGACCCATAGGAGGGATTTCTATTTGATACCAAATTCTGTCTCCTTCAATTACATGGATTTTTCATTTTCTAACCTTGATTTTTCATTTTGATTTGATTTTGTTGGCTAGAGTGGATGGAGTCCTCTCTTACCTGAAATAATTATACCATTGAAACTTTTTCCTATATCTTAAAATGAATGTTAGTCTCCAGACAACTTTTATTCTGCCAGTAACTACTGGATATCCCAGAATTCTTCTACCTAATTTAAATTAGGATTTTTACTTCCAACTTCCTTATTATTTCTTTCATTTTCTTGGAGTCTGTTCCCTTAAACTTTGATCATTTAATGCAAATTTTCTCCTTACTGTGCACAAGATATGGTCATGTATTTGAAGCTCAACAGGGACCACTGGAATATTGAGATTTTTTTTTAAGTATGCAATAGAAATAACTCTCCCCAAATAAACATCAGTGCTTATTATTGAGTCATATTTTCAAAAGCAAGTGATTGACTATTGTTGTTAAATTTTGGTGTATCATTCCATTTGAGTTGTGAAACAGAATGTTCAATGTCCCTTTTCATTTGTATTCCCTCTCACATTCTCATTTCTTTGCATTTTACACATTGTTTCTGTGCTAAAGTTTCTGATACATGGACAAAATCATGTGAAATTAATTTATCTGGTTTAAGTATTATTTAATACTCTATATAATTCACAATTGGAGCATAAAACCATTAAATAATTGAAATATATTCTGTTTGTTTCCCTAATTATAGCTTATGGATCCTAAAGTAATATTATTATACACTAATCTTTAATTACTCCATTAAGGATAAGAGTAATTTCAAAACATGCCGGTTTGAGTTGAACTTTTAGTCACTTCTTAGAACTTTAAAAGAAATCAACATCACCCTTTTTCTGTGCAGAGATGATGACCACCTCTCTTTTTTAAATTGATAGCTGTATGAACTAGTAACTTTCAAGAAAAGTACTCTGTATACTTTCCCACTATACTGTATTTTCCTTATTTGTATTTCATTGCCTTCAGGATCAAGGTGCAATGGTGATACTGTGTTAAATTATGTTATCATATTATAATAGTAACATATACAAGAATACTTTATCTGATACTTTATTGAAATCCCCTAGGTTAATATTTTTGAGGGGAGAATTTGATACAATCATTAAAGAAAATCCACATGAAATGGTTGCGTGATTCTGTGGCCACTCTTAACTTGGCTTTTAACTGGCCAATTCCAAATCATTTGATGGTTATGGATTTACTCCATATTCATATGCTCCCCCTTCTGCAAAAGAAAATGCAATATAGGCTACCTGTAGACTTTAAAATTAAAAGAAATAAAATATCAATTAAAACAATAAAAATGTTTACATCCTCTAGGTTCGTAAAGACTCCTGAATTTCATAATTGCTTTATCAAACTTAACTTCTACCTACCACTCATTATCAAGTTCACTTTGTTTTATCTTCTCATTTGTCTATTACACATTTTTTCTCTTCAGTCCCCTCAAAACAAATACTTGAGAGGCACTTGCTAATGTAATCCTCTCCTCAAGATATTTCCTCGTTTTTTGTTTGTTCATTTTTATTTTTGTATTATATGTCCTTCAGGGAGCAGATACCATGTAGATAGATAGGGTTGCCAGATAAAATACAGGACTCCCAGTTAAATCTGAATTTCAGATAAATGACAATTTTTTTTTTTGTATAAGTATGTCTTGTGCAATAGTTGAGACATATTTATACTAAAATAATTATTCATTGTTTGTCTGGAATTAAAATTTAACTGGTCATCCCGTATTTTTGTTTGCTAAATCTGGCAACCCTACATTTAGAGGAATTTAATTTATCTCTAGCAGTGGGATGCCTATGAACTTGTACATTCTCAGGACATGAGGATATAGCCACTGGATCCAAAACTCTGTGCAGGTTGATTAAGAAACTGTGTGAACACTTATTGCCTGCTTGCTGTGTCAGAGTTGGGCATTTCCTGACCCCAAAGTACCCCACCTTTGGAGCCTTTGTGTGTTGCCTGAAATCATGTTGCATTTTTGAATGCAATGCTGTCTGTTGTGCTTTGATGCTTTCCAACTGATGCAGCCAAAGTGGAAGTCAATGTAGCTGTCGGCAAAATCAGTTTTAACAACTGAGAAGAGGGGCATGAAATTTAGTAACTGCTTTGGATGTGTGCATACCCATTCTCTTGCCAGTCTTGTTTTTGTCTCAAAATTCACTCCAAGTGTGAGATGTACCAATAACTCAATCATGTGCAGATATTATTACTGCAAAGCTTCCTTTCCGGAAAGCTCACAAATGCACTCTAAAACCTAGAAAGCTGAACTACCAGTTGTAATACATCCATAATCCAAAGTATTCATTGACAACCATGGGAGTAGAAAACTAAGCACTTTTGGGGCTGTCTAGAGTACAATGTGAGGTATTACCAAGTTTTCTCATATAAAAATCATTGGACTCATGGCTAGGTTCGCACTTCATATCATGTTTAAAGTTTCCCCCAATACTTAAGTGAATGAGCTTAAGATAAAGAAAACAAGGCTGTTGAGTAAGATAAGGTGCCCAACAATCAAGAAATGGAAGTTACTAAAATATCTTTATATATATTTTATATCATTATAATATATCTTTCATTTTTTATTTATAATTATATATAAACAAGGGTAATATAAATACAAAAGGGTAAGGACAATTTACAATAAAAATCAATTACCCCAGAGTCATTAAATAAGATTGAACAAGACCATTGCTTTAAATCGGAGAGATGTATGTGTGTATACAAATATATATAACTTTTCTTTGGCTATAATGTTTAATACTTTAGATTAGGTTTTATAACTAACTCATTGATTTCAAATGTATAAATAGCATAAAAATAACTCATTCTAAGTATATAATAAGGATATTGGAAATATTAAGACTAGTATTGGAAACATTTTACATTGTAAAAACCCCTTATTGATAAAGTTTGGCTTGTAAACTAAACATAATGAATCTATCATTAACTAGGTACTCAGGATGCCTCTTTGACTTAACTTCTTATAAAGAAATTTATTTTTGTCTTTATTAGTAATTAGTAAAATTTAGTAAAATTGCTATACTTTTATAAGACTTAGCGTAAGGATTTGAGGGCTTTTTGTTGTTGTCAAATAGTTCGACCTTAACTTCATCTGTTTAGACTAGACAGGTTTTAAGTGATACAGAAAACAAGTTAGAAATCATGGTTGTCCAAAGAGGAAAAATCTTGCCATACACCCAAAGGTTGAAGACAAATATTGCTACTCCAATAATGTGATTTTTATAAGCCAACACACTCCAGATACATTTACTTTGCAAAAGTCAAAACATGTCATCATTAAACAAGGCCATTAGAAGATAAATGAATTAATTATCAACAAAAAAGAAAACAATATTAGACGTCCAGTTTAATGCTTTCAAAATCAAATCATTTGAAATGAATTTTTCATAACTTCATAAAGAATGAGTCTCAGATACTAGGAAAAAAATTACCTGTGAGCTATGTACCAAACTTAAGTTGTGCAAGGAATCAGAAGAAATTATTTACTGGAATTAGTCAGAAGTATCCAATTACCACAACTGACTTCAAGATCAATTTAGCTGATTTGGAATGGTTTACTTTACTTGGTTGAAATAAGCTTTATTTTCTAGAATAGTTGTGGTGACTAGAAGTAATCATTTCTGTTCCAGTGTCTTGTTTTTTTCTTTTTTATAACTGTAAAATTGCTTGGAAGTATGAACCCCTGCCTTCTTCAGAACTACATGGGGTTTTAAAATACGTTGATTAAAACAAAAACAAAAACCTTCTCTCTTACAGGCAGTACTTAACAGGCTTCTCAATGACAAAATTTCTTTCATCTAACCATCATCCTTCATGCTACAGCTTAAGCTACCATTTCCTGATCAGTGTGCTGTATCTTGATGTGGCACGAAGATACTTGAGGAATGACCTGATGCCCAGGGCTGCCCACCTCAACACATGACACTGTTAACAGATGCTTTACTCATCTCTTGGTAGTTCTCTCAAATAACTGTCTATAATTGAATATGAGCATTAATAATAGGGGGACATCCTGGGCAAATCAAATTTCTTATGTAAACGGTCATTGTCTAGCCTTATAACACAAAGACAAATCCAATATGAAATAGTTTATTTCAGAAGTAAACTTTGAATTCTGAAAAAAAAAATGACTTATGTATGGTATAAATGACATGATTCTTTTGCACTGTGTTGACCTGATCTTCGGCATCTAGAGTTTCTCCTTAAAAATGGGATCAAGTTGTTATCACATAGTCAAATGTGATGATGACAGATTATAGGTTTGAAGGATAAAAGAGGACTTCATATCACCTAAAGCAGTTTAAGTTATGCCAGATTGACTATGAGGTTAAACCTCAGGGTATGCTGGATATTTGGGTAAGTTTACAGACTGAAAAAAAAATGAAATAAACATGTGTTTTGTCCTTATGAAGATGGAGAAGATACAAAACTGTATTTTTCCAGACTAAATAATTATGAAATAATCATGCCTTTTCATAGATTTCCTAAACCTTTGGATTGATTGCTGAATTTCACAAAAAGGCACATTTTTATCCTTTACCATACAGAGCAGTGGGTTTCCTTATGACTCAATGAGTTTTGTTTCTTGGCAGCGTGGGGAGACTGCATTGCACATGGCAGCCCGGGCAGGGCAGGTCGAAGTGGTCCGATGCCTACTGAGAAATGGTGCCCTTGTCGACGCCAGAGCCAGGGTAGGTGCGGGTGCTCGGGGTTCTCTCCTATTGTGCGCATGAGTTCCATCTTTAAGAGAGAATGCTATTCTTCATTTCCCGGATTTAGAAATGCCATGGACTGTAAGTAGAAGCATCAATTCAGTAGTTTTTCAGGCAGAGAAGGAAATGGTATAGTAAATATACACAATAAAATGCACCCCAATTTCAGAAACATTGACATTTGAAAAAAATATATAATTTAGTATCTAAGAAATGTGGCATTGAATAACCTAGTAATTTTTTAACCTATGAAAACATTCTTACATGTATTTTTCTTTTCATGAATTTTTAAAAAATGACCTATATTATAGAGATACTATGAATATTAAAATTGATTTCATACCATAAAGCCAATCAAATTTGCAGACATTACTTACTAGTTACTTAAAAACAAATTACACTCAAAGTTTTAATGTTGTACCTTTATCTGTTTTATTTTCTTCCTTTCTGTAATGAGTTCTACTTTTCTTCTTACTCTGATTTTACGCAGTTAGACATTCTGCTCTTCCGCTATTCCAAAATAAAATTTTGGCCCTGGAGATTACTTGATCAGATTCTCTTGTTCCTGATTGGCTTCTAATCCCTTTACAGGTTGATTTTTCCTTCCTTTTTTTTTTTTTTTTTAAAATTCACTTTCCAATTGCTTTTTCCACCTTCTTCCTCTACACTGAATATACTAGTAATTTTTATCAATATACTATATCTTCAATTGCCTTTTCCACATCATTCCATTACCTTTTGTATTAGCATCTTTGGGATTCTCGTAGAATATTTGAAGACTTTCTCTCCTTCAATACTTGATGTACCTGGGCTAGAACTCACTTCAGCTTGAATTGTGCCATCATGACTCCCTTTTGGAAATGGTATTATATTGGAATGAAAGCATCTGCCTAGAGTCCTACACATTGTCATTTCAGGCAAGTCATTGCACTTCTAGGTCTTTATCATTAAAATATAAAGGTTGGACTTAGAAACCTTGAAACTCCTTTCCAGACTTTCTTAACATTCTCTGACTCTATGAATTTAATAGCATTTTTTCCACAGATTTTCATGAAAAATCCGGTGAAACATGGGCAGCCTTGATATTAGCCTTTTCCTTTTGGATTTTATCTGCCTTTTTATCCATTGTGTGAGTAGTGTAATTAATGTTCTTTGGTAATCATCATCGATATTTTATTTTCTTATGTATTTAGAGCTTTTGTTGTTCAAACTGTATTCTTCCCAGCCTTGGCATTTTTCGTTTCTCCCCCGCCCCACGACTATTTTTTAAGAGCAGTTTTAGGTTCATAGCAAATTGCAAGGAAGTTACAGAGGCTTCCCATATACGCCCTGATCCCACACGTGCATAGGCTCCCACATTATCAGCTTTCCCCACTAGAGTGGTACACGTGTTAGAATTGATGAGCACACATTGACACATCACAATCCCCCAATCCATAGTGTACATTAGGGTTTACTCTTGATGTTTCACATTCTGCCGGTTTGGACAAATGTATAATGACATGTACCCATCCTTATCATGCAGACCAGTTTTACTGCCCTAAAAAAACTTCTGTGCTCTGCCTATTCTCATTTCCTTTCCAGGTTACCTGGCATTCAGCTATTTAAAAAAAAATTATGGTCAATCAATGTACTCTGAGTATCATGAACTTCAGTATTTTTATCAGAAATTGTGATAATATTTCTGGTAAATGTTTGTAATTTATATTTAATGACAAAAGGGTTTCCTGTTTATCTTTCAAAATAAAACCGTTTAATATTTGTCTATATTCAAATTTTAATTTATTTTTAACAGAAATTTGCTTATTTTCATGTGTCTTTGTCAATTTTTTTATGTTATCAATTTAGCCTGTTATTATTGCCTTATGCTTTTCTGGATACCATCTGAAACCCCTTCCTCCAAACCACTAGCTAAAGATTCTTTACTTTGAAATATTGTAACATTTATTCATTTTTTAAAAATTTTTACACACAAATTCCATCAATTCTATTGTTCTGGTGTTTTTTTGTTGTTGTTTGTTTTTTTGTTGTTTTTTAAGAGAGAGTTCGTGGGAGTGGGGAAGGGCAGAGGGAGAAGGAGAGAGAGAATCTTAAGCACGCTCCATGTGGGGCTCACTCTCACGACCCTGAGATCATGACCTGAACCAAAATCAAGAGTTGGACGCTTAAAGGACTGAGCCACCCAGGTGCCCCCAATTCTATCATTTTACTTCCTTTCGCAACTACGTTTAGTGTCATGGTCTACATATGTAAATAAAATCTTTAATTTTTTTATTCCTCCTTGTTTAAATATCAAATGTCATGATCCTTTGTTTTTTCAACTCTACCACCTGTCCGAAGTTGCAACTAAAATTCCTTCCCTATAGCATCCTTCTGGTTGCAGACAGGAGAAACTACCACAGCCTGATAGAGCCCTGCTACTGAAAGGTCATTATGCATGACATCACCTGGGGATCTTTTTAAAATGCAGAATGAACTCAGTAGGTTGGGGTGAGGCCCCAAATCTGCATTTTTTTTATTTAAAAGATTTTTTTTATTTATTTGACAGAGAGAGAGACAGCAAGAGAGGGAACACAAGCAGGGGGAGTGGGAGAGGGAGAAGCAGGCTTCCCGCTGAGCAGGGAGCCCGATGCAGGGCTCCATCCCAGGACCCTGGGATCATGGCCTGAGCTGAAGGCAGACGCTTAACGACTGAGCCACCCAGGCGCCCCCCAAATCTGCATTTCTAACAAACTCACAGGCGATGGGCATGTTCCCGATCCCAGGATTATACTGAGCAGCAAGAAGCTAAGGTTTTCCCTTTTCACATGTTCTATTTTAAGTTGTAATTTAACCATGAGTTTCTACTTTTTTTAGCCCTTTAGGTTTGCCTGGAAATCTTTGATGTTAACAAATGTTAACATTTGTACAGTGGTCTATACTTCATAAAGCATTTTAACACGAATTACCTTATTTAACACACAGAGCAACCATGTGTTGTAGGGTGGCTTAGGGTCCTGAAATCCAAAATTGTGCTGTCTTTCCTGAGGTCATAGAGTTAGAAAGAGTAAGAAAAGGGTTCCTCCTTGATTCTGGATCTTTCTCCTAGCTTTTTTCTGCTGACATAATTATCTCCTTTTTGTCTATAAAGAGAGACCTTATCTCTCCTATCTAAACAAACAACAGGATTCTAATTAGTCACATTTCCCACCTGGGCTGATCACTATGGCCAGGATATAGTACTAAGCCTGGGTTCCATGCCCATTCATGTGGTGCATCCATGAAGTGGAGTGAGATGAGTGGCAGACCCTCCAGAGCCACATGTAGTGGGGGATGCCTTCTTTCCCCAAAGGAGGGAGGGCTCTTCCCAGAAAAAGGGTGTAGGGGTTCTTGAACAGAAAAATGAAAATCTATCAGTTCTGTTTTACCTCTTGGTTTCCCAGCATGCATACCTACATGCATGCACTTCTGAAACTCTCTCTCTTAACCTAATACATTGCTCTATCATTCACTCCCTCCCAAAGGGGAGATGGTCAGCAATTATACTCAGTTACTATGCTGAACTCCAAGGGCGAGATCTCTGGGTAGTCTGTATTCTTCTTAATCAGGTTTAGAAATAATATCTCATGGTTATATAATCATGGCGCTACTCCCACTACATAATGAAAGAAAAATAATTTACCACACCAATGCCTCTCATTTAAAAAGTGCGAGTTGCATCCTCTTGTAAGTCAAGAGCATGAGGCGATTTTGCTGGACAGACTAAGAGACCAGGGACTGCAGGGCATAAGTTCATTGGTCAGTCAGTGTGCTTGCCCCCGGACCCTGCCCTCACAAAGGTCCTTCCTTGTCCAGTATCCTCCATGGATATGACTGAGAGGACCACTGGGGCCCTCCCATTGGGGAGCTCTCTTACTTGAGGTGCCTATGTTCTGTTGGCACAATATGGAGGGCTGGCATTTGGTTTAGGGATAGAGCAATCACAGGGCCCCGAGGCTTAAACTCACTTGAAACTTAATTCACCTTAAAACTTGAGTTAGCTGCCAGTCGATTTGGTTCCTGAGAATCGTGTTAGCTAGGAATTAATGGCAGAAATTTGATCAAATCTTTGAACCTTGTCTAAGCCATTGCTATTTCTGTCTTTTGGTAAAGGAGTTGGGGCTCAGCAGGTCTTCCTAATTTTGGAAGACTATAGCTTGTGGGAGTAAGGCAGAGCTCATCTCTTCCTGGTCCAGGCTGTATCACAGTCAATGACACTTTGTGATGAGGGAATTATTACCCCTTATATATGGAAGAGGCCTAGAGGATCAAGGTAACCCTCCCTTTTTAAAGCCCTTTCCATGAATATTATTTTCTGCGCTTTCCCAATTCTTTGCCTTGGCTTGAATTAACTTTAGTTTGGAGCAGCAAATTCAACTTTTGCAGTTCAACAGGGAAATAATTACCCAAACCTTAAAAGGTCTTATATCTCTAGTTACCAGTGGAAAGACTTTCTAACCAAACTTGTTTGTTCTTCCCTTTTTTGCTTTCAGATAGGACTGTACCAAAAGTTGAAGAAAGTAGGCAAGGCAGTTTATTTCTTAAAAAAATTAAAAACAAAAACAAACAAACAAAATCAAGTACCTAAATGCTCTGGGGTCTGAGAACCAAGGGACAAGAGTTGATAATTTAACCGAATAGTTGGCTGCTACCGGCTCTGGATGAAGGTGCCTTCATTGCCCCAGGTCTCCCGCTCACTCATCAAGAACATCTTTTAGATTATGTCACTTGCAATACCTGCCTCTATCAAATTGTGCTGGGCAGATGTGCAAGAAGGGAAACCCAGAAGTGACAGATGTTCATGATAGCTATTCTTAGGTTCTTCAGTTCTTTTACTGTTGTTTTGTTCTCTATTTATCTTTGTAATTTAATTTCCCCCATTTGTCTATTTTCTTCTCTGCTGTGTTTCAGAGAACAGTTGTATTTTCTGAAGTGTTGTCAGTCTCCTTTCCTATTGAGAGTCACCTCATTCTGTTAGTTTTCTCAGTGGCCAACTTACTGTGTCTATTTCTGTAGGATGTATAGGCCAATGAATGTCTTTGGAATCCAATGCCTGAATTCAAGTCCTGTTTTAATAGCCTGGTGACCTCAAACAATCCTGGAGAACCACTTTAATTCCCCTTAACCTCCGCTTTCCAGAAAATGGTCTAATAATACATCTTATGCCTTCCTTTCGGGTCTTTTGTAAGAATAGGATTAAGTATGCACTGTACATGAAGGAAGGTTATAAATTGCATTTTTAAAAAAGATTCCAATTCTATTACTAAAACACTTGTGTTATTGTTATTTATTACTTACTTCTCACCACCCTGAAATTCATATAATGCTATTCCATCTCCTTCTGTGGCTCCCTCTGAATACTTTCTTTCTTATACTTTAAGATACTACATTTATTTGAACAGCTCTTCCCCACTCTATTATATCCTTTTTCCATTCATTCTTAGCTTAGAAAGCTGACCCAGCTTTTCCTTCCTCACTTTGATTATGACATGCCCTTGAACACATTGTAAAGACATACCTTTTTTTCATCACTAAGGTTATGCTCAATTTTCTTTTTATAAAAGAATGGTTTGGCCTAGTTCTCTTAACACTGAAATGAAAATATTTTCTGACTACACATTAGAGTCAGGTGATTTCTTGAGCCTCTTCCAACATATCCTCCCTATTTCTTATACCAGCTATGTCCTCTCTGCGTTTCTAAATGAAAAGCACTTGGCAAATACTTAACCCCCTTTGCTTCTTGCCAGAGTTCCATTTCATCCTGAAATCCTGGATGTAAGTCCCAGAACCATCTGTAATGTTTCCTGGAACATTAAAAAAAAAATCAGATCGTAATATCTTATCTGAAGTCTCTCCTTGAAGAAAATGACCAGTATTTCTATCCTCGGCTTGTTTGAGTGGAGTAAGAACAGTTTTCCCAGCATCCCTCATTCTTTCTCTCTTGATATAGTTCCCAGAATAAATACTGTCTCTTAGTGAAAGCTTTTGGATGAGAATCTAGGTCTTAGTACTTCTGGACTAGATTTCTTTCTTATTCAGAACCACAAGTTGGTTTATATTTAAGCATAAGTGAGGGCTGAAGCCTTAATGAGTTGAGTAACATATTGGTATGCCCAGGCAACAATGACCAAGTTCATGGAAGTACATACTACTAAGAAAATCTAAGAAAGATTTTTGTGACCAAACAGGTCACCTCCATAACAAAATATAAAATAAATCGTGGTCAGAGTAGTAATAATTTCCTTTTTGGGTAAGGGTTCCTAGAGATTCCAAGAAGACGTCAGGAAACATCTGAGTGAAATATGTTATCAGTGAAGTCTGGCTTGTTCTGGCACTAATTTTTGACTTGACTTGAGTTGTAGGAGGAACAGACACCTTTGCACATTGCCTCTCGCCTGGGTAAGACAGAAATTGTCCAGCTGCTTCTACAACATATGGCTCATCCAGATGCAGCCACGACAAATGGGTACACGCCATTGCACATCTCTGCCAGGGAAGGCCAGGTAGATGTGGCATCAGTCCTCTTGGAAGCAGGAGCAGCCCACTCCTTAGCTACCAAGGTAAGGGGATGGCTCCATGACAACATGGATGAAGAGGGATCCTGAGTCAGGCTTCCTCTGTTCTATTATCCACAGTATCAAGAAGGGTAGATCTTCTTTAGGCTCTGACTTACTTCTTTCTATTTGAATATTTTAGATTCATTTCCTAAATCATCAAAGGGGATTTTGAAATCCCATATAATATTTTCAATAACCAGTGCTGAATTCCATCCTTCTAAGTAGTATTGTTTCTAATACAGGTGTCTGGTGCCTTTTTAACTAAGATTATTTCCATAGAGCAAGGACTACTTTCTCTTCTCTTTCCATTAGAAAATCTATAATGTATTCCCAAGAGAAAAAATAGAAGATTCCCAAATACATTGAACTAGTATTACTAATGAAGAAAAGAAAATTGCATTAAATTGGCAATACTATATTTGCTAACAGTTTTAGTACTATCTAGAAGTTCACCTTACTTGATTCTGCATTTTTCCAACTCTGGTATCAGCTGTCATTCCCATTCTGCTCTCTGATATTTATCAGCTATATTCTTGCTTGGGTATTTACGGTGTCTAAATAGAGCTGGGCTAGAGAAGCACTTTATTGGTTGTATATTCTTTGTATACACCAGCCTGAACTTTACTTATGTTCAAAGTTTCATGCTAGGGCAGAATAATTTTTTTTTCCACTTGATACATTCTATTTGAAATTCACTACTTGGACATGACTTAGAATAAAACATGAACACACTCAGCTAATCAGAGCAAGAGAAATTGGATGGGTACAGAAGAGTAGAAAAATGAGACAAGTTTAAAGTCCACAACAAGTGTATTGTTTGCAAGGCAAAATAATTCCCATAAATACAATAGTGATTCATCTTATTTAAAAGACATTTTCAATTTGCTCATAGCAAATAGTCATGAGTACTACATCTGAGGGAGAAGTATGAACTCAAGGAATGTTGTGGCATCTGTCCTCCTAGAAGTAGGAACGGCCCACTAGCCATTATGACTTAATCTGGTTGCCTGTGGCTATAAAACATGTTTTAATGTAAGAAACTGATAATTATTCAAATGCTGAAATCTGAAGAGCTGAAAGGATTTTAAAAGTCTTTTTTTTTAAATCAGAAACTAAGCAACAAATGTAATAGTGATAACAACAACAACCCAAGAAAGACTGGGTGATCATCTCACCAGATGAAGGTGACAAATAAATTCAGATATGTAAAATACAGAAATAGAGAATACAACATAGTGCCTTGCAAAGATTTTTAGAATTTAAAAGATATATCTAAAGCCATAGTCAAGTACTGAGGTTAAATGGAAGGAACTATTAAATTGAGCAGTTCAGTAGTGGAACTCACTGGGGTTCTGATGAATAGTTGACTCATCATCATTAAAGCTATTTGAGTGTTTCTAAATATCAGAGGGTAAATGAAATCCTGAGGAAATTAACATGGGGAAGGAGGAAGATGTATGACTCAAGAGATGCTTTCCAACCCCAATTTTGTGATTCTACAGTAAAGATTCTGTGTGGTTTTGTCTAATAATATGTTCCAAATTTATAAAGGGGTTGGATCACTATTCCAGCAGGACTTTATGGACAAGGCATTTCTTTTTCTTCCTTATCATGTATTTTTTTTTCTCAAAGAATTCTACTTCATCCTGAGTGTCACCCCAATCATTGTGTACGTTGAGCAGAGGGAGAACATTAACAATAAATGTTGGCTGAAACGGACTAATGCAAAAGGAGGAAATACTTCCTATATTTGTCCCACATTTGGAGAAAGTGAAAGAATCACTCTCCTCCAAGGACTGATTAGTACCAAATGTTCAAAAAGAAGCGAAAAGAAAAACAACATTTTAATTAAACATAATTCGTGTGGTGACACTGTGAAAGGGCAGTATTGTTTCTTGGGAGAAATTCTGTATTGTGATGAGGGCTTCAGTGGTCCCAAGGATAAGCCATACCTTAGACCACCTACACCAGGCACATTTGCTTGGTGTGTTTTACAGGCCCCGGTCAGCGTTAGAACTCTTCCACTCTCACTTTAGTGCCAGAAGAGCATGTGGTTAGACTGTCTGGCCAAGAGGATGGATTTGAGATCATGGTGTAGGAACCGTGCCATCCTTGAGATCTGAGTCCAGGGACTTGGCTGTTTTTGTAACACAGCTAATGACGGAGAATGACATTAGTTAGGCACACAAGACATTGAATCTGCACATATAAACATGGGTAACAGAGCATTCTTTTAAAAAAGCTTTACACTGGTGTGTTTAAAAGTCTGACAATCAGCTCAACATTATGCCGGAAGTAGAGTGTATTTTACAAAAGGAATTGGTCTTTTATACAGTGTGGGTCTTCTGGGAAAGGGGCTAGATAACAGGATAGGAGGTACTTTTTAGTAGTGAGCATTTTTCTTCTCTGTCGACCATTTATCTTGCTATTTCTTCAGAAAATGCAAATCAACTGAATCACAGTAACAATTTTTTTACCAGGGCTGCTGAAATATCCTAAAATTTAAATGAAGAAATTTGGAATTCAGGTATTATAAAAAGGATAGAAAAAGAAGGATTGGAGAGAAGGCAGCTATTGTCTCAATCCTATTAATTTTAGAAGCAGGAAAAAGACAAGCTGTCCCCACCCCTGCCCCCAATCACTAAAGAGAGCCTTTTTAGGGACACCAGTGGCCTTTATAAATTTCAAACCTATAAAGTCAAATTTCAGTTTGCAAGCCCTTAAAATAAAATCTGTTTTGTTCAATCGATCAAGCCAAACTCTTGCATGTTAAATTTCCTTCTTTATTCTAGTCCTTGTTTATGGCTAACAGATTTAATGCTTCTAATATTTTTCCCAAATAGAGACTCAACATAGTTTGCTCAGTATGTTAACAAACAAACAAAAAGATTTTGTTAGGAGCCACAAAAATAAAGATTACATTTTACTTTTGTTTCTTCGCATTTTCAGAAGGGTTTTACTCCCCTGCATGTAGCAGCCAAGTATGGAAGCCTCGATGTGGCAAAACTCCTCTTACAACGCCGGGCTGCCGCAGATTCTGCCGGGAAGGTAAAGAGTTTTACTAATACATGACAGTTACGTAACTCAGTCAGGTTGGAAGCTTTGGAGATCTGTACTTCGAGATATTTTTCTCACCCTTCTGAAAGGAATATGAAGGCGACTGATGAAACTATGCCAGATAGACACGAGGGGGATATCTGCCCGTGCGTGACCTGTCCACATCCACACTAATTTAGAAGGCATTTAGAGCTGTGCCTTCAGTGTATGTCCTCTGCACTAAATTTAGAAGAATCCTTGCAATGCTAATGTAGTCATTCTTGCATAGCATTTCAGACTTTTATTTACGGTGGCTATCCAGGTAACGTGTGCCAACTTACACTCCACCAGACATTTTCCGTTTTAGCTAAGTTTCTAATATGCAAATCATTAGGTATTGATTTGATTTTTTATTGACCATATTAATTAATTAACATGGACTTAATCGATACTAGTTTCCATGCATTTGGGTAGCTTCAGGGCAGCTCACACTAATTTATTAATGCTGAATTTAAACACACCCTTTACAGAACGGCCTTACCCCGCTCCACGTTGCTGCTCATTATGACAACCAGAAGGTAGCATTGCTGTTACTGGAGAAGGGCGCTTCCCCGCATGCCACGGCCAAGGTGAGGACCGCAGAAGAGGACTGGCAGAGATAGGGTGCAACTATACTCAGACTGCACATGGGAATTGCTCTTTCATTTTTTAAATTTTAATTCCAGTGTAGTTAACCTACAGTTTTTTATTAGTTTCAGGTGTGCAATAGAATGATTGAACACTTCCATACATCACCTGGTGCTCATCATGACAAGTGCCCTTCTTAATCCCCACCACCTGTTTCAACCATCGCACCTCCCCACCCCCCTTCATTACCAGCAGTCTGTTCTCTAGAGTTAGTTTATTTCTTGGTTTGGCTCTGTCTCTTTTTATCCTCTGCTTGTTTGTTTTGTTTCTTAAATTCCACATATGAGTGAAATCTTATGGTATTTGTCTTTCTCTGACTGACTGATTTCACTTAGCATTATACTCTCTAGCTCCTTCCATGTTGTTTTAGGGAATTGTTCTTTAAACACATGGTATGGTATAACTGCAAATAGTCCTAGTGATAGTAGCTTTTGGTACTGACTATTTTTTATTATTATTATTTCTACCAGTTACTTCCACAAAGCCTTTTAAGATTTTTTAAAAGCCGGGGCGCCTGGGTGGCTCAGTTGGTTAAGCGACTGCCTTCGGCTCAGGTCATGATCCTGGAGTCCCGGAATCGAGTCCCGCATCGGGCTCCCTGCTCGGCGGGGAGTCTGCTTCTCCCTCTGACCCTTCTCCCTCTCATGCTCTCTGTCTCAAATAAATAAATAAAATATTAAAAAAAAAAATTAAAAAAAAAAAGATTTTTTAAAAGTCAGCGTAGATTAAGGGGATATGCCTACAAAACAGTAGAGGTGACTTTTACTGCTAACATGCAGTGTTTTAGAGACTAAAGTTTTGAATTTTGAGAAATGAAACATAATAAAGGCAGTAGGTTTTTCCTTTTCCCCTATAACCAGAATGTTATGACATAACATAACCTTTTTTTTTTTTTTGCTTATTCCTTTAGGCCTCAATTTTTTCATTATGGTATATGAAAGGCTCTTCGTTTCTTTTTTCTTTAAGTATTTCATTACATCCTTTTAAGTTCTGAGACTAGGAATTCCTTTTTGATGTATATATACCACCAATTTCTGAGACAGTGCCAACTGAGACTTGTACCAACGGACAGGGCATTTCTCACTATTTGAGTTGCCCCTTTATTAGGCCAAAAATATGCATGAATCTCACATAATACATGAAATAATCATTATATCTTTCATTAATTCAAGCATATATTTTATCAGGATTTATTTAAAAAGTATTTATTGTGTTAGGAAGATATTCATGCTATGTTAGATGACATAATAAAACAGCACAACTCCCATTTATTTACCAAATACTGTACCTACCACTTTGCATGCACTATCTCATTTAATCTCATGATAATGCTATGAGATTGGTGTCATAATAATTTCTATTTTACAGATAAAAAAGTGAGATTTGAATAGATTAATTTGTTTGTCCAAAGTCACTTGACTGATAAGTGATAGAGCTGAGATTTGACCTCAAGCAATTTGACTTTAGAACCAGCACTCTTTTTTTTTTAGTTTTTTTTTTTTTTTTTTTTTTTTAGTAATCTTTACACCCAATGTGGGGCTCGAACTCACAACCCTGAGATCAAAAGTTACCTGTTCTTTTGACTGAGCCAGCAAGGTGCTCCTAGAACCAGCACTCTTAACCATTAGGTCCACTATGTCCCAAAGTAGTGGAGAGAGAATTATTCTACTTCTATTATATAAATATGTATATGTGTACTCATGTGTCTATTTATTTATTTTTTATTATGTTATGTTAATCACCATACATTACATCGTTAGTTGTGTTTTTTTTTTAAGATTTTATTTATTTGACAGAGAGAGCACAAGCAGAGGGAGACAGAGGGAGAAGCAGGCTCCCCGCTGAGCAAGGAGCCCGATGTGGGACTCAATCCCAGGACCCTGGGATCATGACCCGGGCCGAAGGCAGCCGCTTAACTGACTGAGCCACCCACTTAACTGACTGAGCCACCCAGGTGTCCCGACATCATTAGTTTTTGATGTAGTGTTCCATGATTCATTATTTGCATATAACACCCAGTGCTCCAGGCAGAACGTGCCCTCTTTAATACCCATTACCAGGCTATTTAAATTATACATATACACATATAATAAAATGGGATATTCTATATAAAAAGTATACTCTGTATAATACCATATATTTTGTATATATTATATATGACATAATATAAATATACATAACTTTGTAACATACCTACATATACATCTACATATATACATATACATGCATATTTTATTGGTACGAATATACACTAATAATAAAATATTTTAACTATCAAAAGAGGAGGGCAGGGGCACCTGGGTGGCTCAGTCGTTAAGCGTCTGCCTTTGGCTCACGTCATGATCCCAGGTCCTGGGATCGAGCCCCACATCGGGCTCCCCGCTCCACATCGGGCTCCCCGCTCCACATCGGGCTCCCCGCTCTGCGGGAAGCCTGCTTCTCCCTCTCCCACTCCCCCTGCTTGTGTTCCCTCTCTCACTGTTTCTCTCCCTGTCAAATAAATAAATAAAATCTTTAAAAAAAAAAAGAGGAGGGCAAATATTTATAATTATGCATATCATTCTTATTCCTTTATACCCTTCTCTCAGTAGTCTCATCAATTCTGCATTTATTTGATGTCTTTCTTCATCCTAGATGATAAACTACTTGAGCACAGTAATCATGTCATATTCATCTACATATCCCTAAATTATCTCATATAGTATTATGTGGATTCTCAATACATTTAAATGAAAGAATGAAGACTAAGCAACTATTTCAATGGAATAAAAATACCTACTCCTTTAACATGCCAGTACTTTTTTCATTAACTCTCCAAGCTGGCGATCCTCAATATAGATATGAAAGATTTCATCAATACCCAACAACACTTTATTTGAACTCTTACTATGTATAAAGAAAGAAGTGTAGTAAAACTTTGTTCTCCTCCCACAAGGGACTTTCAATCTACTTGGGAGAGAGGACCTAAATTATAAAATAATCTGTATGGTTTTCCCAAAAAGACAAATATAGCCCTGATCTCTAGCCTCTACAGTGTATGGTCCTTACTCTTAGGTACACACATAGAGTCCATAAGACCTATGGTAGAGCAACCTCTACTCCAGAATCGTAGTAGGGTGGTGTTCAGGAGGCTCCTCTAGTATCTTCCACTCATCTGCCCCAGCCTGTTGATGAGCATGAGTCCTTCAGTTCTGGGGCCACTCCAAGAGGCTTCCAGTTGGTTGTACCCCCAGCCCCATTTCCACTTTTTTTTTTTAAGATTTTATTTATTTATTTGAGAGAGAGAGAGAACACAAGCAGGGGGCAGGGGCAGAGGGAGAGGGAGAAGCAGACTTCCCACTGAGCAGGGAGCCCGATGTGGGGGCTAGATCCCAGGACCCCGGGATCATGACCGGAGCCGAAGGCAGATGCTTAAACAACTGAGCCACGCAGGCACCCCCCCGCCCCATCTCCACTTTTGACTCTGTATTCACTGCAACCACTTGCTCTAGCCAGAGACATAATCCCTTGGACTCTAGAACCTGTTTGCTTCTTTCTACCAGAGCCCAGAAGCTTTTCTTAGTTTTCACTGGATTTTTTTTCTGTGTGTGGTTATTTGGTTCCAAAAAATTTCACTCTATGTGGAGTAGGAGGACTATTTAGATCTTGTAGATCAAGTATCTGCTGGACAGTCAGATCTCTTATATTGCCAAAATTGACACTCTTTTTAATGATCTCTTATGTTGTTTTGATAAAACCTCCTGTCCTCCTCCATGTAAGTCTCTGACTTCCTAACCTTGGTAGATTTACTCTGATAATTCACCTAACTTTGGTAGAGCCCACGTGCAGGAATGGGGGACATTTGGACTGAAGAAAACACACTATAGCAAAAAAAAAAAAAAGATGCTAAACTTACAGGGTCCACAAAAATTTATGTATCCTTTAATTTAATAGAGCCCATGGTCCAAGTGCAGTGTTCTAGAACAACTGGAGCATCTGGGACCAATGATCAGACCATGAACAGGCTTCTAAGGAGAGCTGCCAAATTTCCTCAGCAGCTTAAAGAGAAATATCATTTATCTGAACTGAAAGATGCTTATTTTTGCTTGGAGAAATGGGGCAGAGTAGATAGATCAGATCATTGAGGATCAAGATTTGATGATGGCATGTAAAGATATTTAAGTTCTCAAAACTCCTTTTAATTTTTGGTACCCTTTGCAGTTAGACTTCAGGAAATAACATAACCTAAAATTATCTTATGATAGATTCACAAGAAGCAATTGATCGTTATGCTGTCTTTACCTTCATTATATCACAGTTCATGGCAAGGCCACTCTTTTTAATTTCTATTACACGTTTTTCATGGAAAATTCTACCAGACTTGAAAAAGGAAAGGAAAGGAAACAATATAGGTTCCATACTAACATTTGTTCTAGAGGTCTGTTTGCTTGTTTTTTCTTTTAACTAAGAATAGGGATTAACGTTTGGCTCTTGTAAGCCAAGTATGAATTCCTCTGGTCCTCTCTACAAACTGCCACATAAAACTAGTATCCTCATATTTCTACTTTTGAGTGCACAGGTTGTAGAGACAAGTGGAAGATCTAGAATTTTAATAGGCCACAGGATTGATATAAGCCAATTTTGTTGCTTAATATATTTTCCACTAGAATGCAACCCCTTAAAGACAGGGATTGTGTCTTGTCCACCTCTGTATCCCTATACCTAGCACACAGCCTGGCACATGCTCGCAACTTACTAAATAGCTATCGAATGAATAAAAAGTACAATCCACCCAGAAGCATAATAGCAGGAGTGTTTTAACAAGATCAAAGAAAGAATTCCATTTTATTCTGTACTACTAAAACTGTGTCTGAAGTATAGCATTCAGTTCCAGGTTGCACAATTCGAGAGCACTATTGACAAACTAGAATCAGTCTAGAACAGGTCATCCTTAATGGAGAGGTCTAGCAATGGGGCTTTTATCAGGAATAGTTAAAGGACTGGGGAAGTTTAACCTGGAAAAGAAGCCTAAAGGGAGATATGAAAACCATCTCCAGGTATTTGAAGGACAGTCATGTAGGAGAGGAACCTGGCTTATTTTATGTTGCTCTGCAGGAAAGAACCAATATTGTAAGAAGAAGTTGTTAAGCTTTGGGGCTTTTGTGTCTATACCTGTCTTAAAATAGAATGGGTGCCTTGTGATATTGGTTGTAAAGATTTGGGTGTTGTTAGATGGGAACTTGCAATGGGTAAGAATTTGGATTTACTATAAACTCACTTTATAACTTTTCTGTTGATTAGAGATTCTTATTTCCTTTGGAGATATATATTAGGGCAAGTGCTAAGCTTACAAGATATATTTGTTTTATTTTTTTTTTTCCTAGAATGGCTATACTCCTTTACATATTGCTGCCAAGAAGAATCAAATGCAGATAGCTTCCACGCTCCTGAACTATGGAGCAGAGACTAACATTGTAACAAAACAAGGAGTAACCCCACTCCACCTGGCCTCACAGGAGGGGCACACAGATATGGTCACCTTGCTTCTGGATAAGGGAGCCAATATCCACATGTCAACCAAGGTATTGTTTTTGCCTCTTGTTTTAGCCAAGAGTCTCTCAGATGAATGTAAACAGAAACCGATCAAAGATAACTTGGAACAGAAGGAGGGGATGTGTTAAAAGGAAACAGAGATTACTTCTAGAATTCAAGGACAGTAACAGTCGGAGCCTTATGAGGAAAAAACCACAAGGAAGCAAGAGGCCGACTCTCTGCCTGTATGGCTGCATTTTTGAATCTTGACTTTTCCCTGCAAGTCAGTTTCATTTACCTCTCTCTACAGATCGACTTTCTCTGTTTCATTGTGTATGTGACCAAAGTGGTGACCCTATAGCTCCCAAGAGTTAACATCACGGCAGTTAAAGCAGTCCGTCCAGATTGCCATAGGACCTGCTGGTCTTAATTCCAAATTTCAGACAGAAAGAGGGAGAGTGAGAGAGAGATAGAGAGAGAAGTGACAGTTCATTTGGGCTCTTGCCCAAACAACTGATTCTAAGCTCTTGGTCCATGGCCACTACCCAAGCCATTCTCCAGCCCGGCTGAGCATAAGAGGCACCCGGGGGCTGGGGGAGGGACGCATGCAGGGAACTCAGTAAAATAGAGATTTCTGAGCCAACTTTAGCTTAGTTTGGGTGGTTCTGGTGGTGGCGGCCAGAGAATCAGTGTTTTTAATAAAGAACCTCAGTCATTTCAGCCTTTGTAGGCAAGCATATTAACTATAATAGAGTAAGAGTGAGGAATATAGGGGGAAAAGACATTTTTCAAATATGGAAATACTTGGATTTTTACAATTACATGTCTGTCTATACATTTCCCTCTTTCTCTACATATATATCTGCAACTCTACCTACCTACCTACCTATTTAATGTATATCTATTTTATACTTTATGTACTCCACTGGAGTCAGCTTCTGAGAAACTAAAAATTGAAGTCTATATTTACAAGTTAGCTCATCACTTACAACTCTTAATGCTTTTTGTAACACAAAGTATAGGTTTAGTGAACATTAAGTTTCTTAGGATTTTTCACAAATACACAAGTACTGTGTTTTTTACATCTCACTGTTGAGCTAATTAGTGCTTTTGGAAACTCATATGTGAATTGGTCTTAATAATGTTTATCAGGGGTGCCTGGGTGGCTCAGTCATTAAGCGTCTGCCTTTAGCTCAGGTCATGATCCCAGGGTCCTGGGATGGAGCCCCACATCGGGCTCCCTGCTCCACGGAGAGCCTGCTTCTCCCTCTCCCACTCCCCCTGCTTGTGTTCCCTCTCTCGCTGTGTCTCTCTCTGTCAAATAAATAAAATCTTAAAAAAAAAATAATGTTTATCAATAGGTTATGTAGCATTATTTCCTTTAGAAATAGTTTTGAAAAAGACAAGTTGCCTGAATGCCTCTAGAGTCCTATTCTGTGTCTTTATCACTCAGAAGTATTCCAGTAAATCCCTTGCCCTTATACGCTTCTTTGTTCTCTATCAGAAGTCCTCATGGATCTTTTTTTAAAGTATAGTGAGAGCTACTGATAGAGTTATTCCTCCAAAAGATATTTGCATTTTAACAGAAATGAACATGCTAAAGCCTTATGGTGAAATTCAATGCCTCAGCTGTCATTAAAGTCTGGGGCATGGATTTCCTTGTGGCCATTGACATCATGCCATCCAGGTGATCATTTCCCCTACTGGGGATATTCTCACTAAGACCAGTTGTATATGAAGGGGGCAGATAGTGTTTATTGTCCGTTAAAAACAAATCTTCATTTGAAAATAAACACGAGAAATCCATAAACAAGGAAAATTTTGAGTAGAATGAAATTCTAGACATTTCATGAAACTGGTCACGTGATGCTTCTGATAGTGCTGTTTTTAATTTATATTCATATCTGGAATCAGTTAATTATATCCCTCCCTAATGGTATTCTTCTAAACATATTACTTCCTTTGAGAGGGTTTTAGCAGTCAATCAGCAAATATTTAATGAATATTTTTGACTTGCATACTCTGCAGTGAAGAAATATATTCAATTTTGGACCACAAAGTAATTATGTTATCTTTATAACAATGATTTCAATATTAGATTTGGGTGCTATCCTAAAAAGAGGTATGATGTATTTGTCACTAGAGTAAATCACCATGTAATAATAAGAACCAGTTGTAGAGTTCTCTAGTGCATCTTAGAAAATAAATTCCTTTTTTTGGCACGAATTCCTTCAACATCTTCTATTTTCTTGATTTATTAGAAGAGTTTTCATAATTTGATTTAGGTATACAAATTTATCATAATAAATTGTAGAGGATTTTCATACTGGCTGTTAGTTTGTAATCTTATAGTGTAGAAAATCCATTCTGCAAATAGTGTAGAAAACAGCACATATATTTGACATGCCATTAAAAATGTCTTCTCGATATATGATGATCATTTCCTTTAATAGTCACTTCAATAACATTTTTAAAAGACCAGTTGTCTCCATAAAGAGAAATATTTTTGTTTGCTATTTTCATATGAAGAAAATCAGAATGAGGAAGAATCTTCTGTTCCAATATTCATATTGTTTATACTTTAGGACTAGATAGTATTTAGAAGGGAGGACATTTTAATGCGAAAGGGTATATCTTTGATCTCATCCTGATGGTTTATGAAACTCAAAGCTGAGCTCAGCCAGAACTGTAAGGATTAAAAAGCCCCAAGCCCTCAAAAAAAAAAAAAAACCTTCTCTCTAGTTGGAGAATGTTTTTCCCTCTGTACATATCACTTATGTTTTTTAAAGATCAGAGGACTTATCCATTTCTAGGAGTACACCCTGGCTAGAGATCATGAATTTTGAAGAACCTGGCTGACTGTGGAAAGGCAGATCTGCAAAGCCACAGTCAGGGGGGCTGGTAGAATCTCTCTGGACATGAATTGGGAGAGTGGGGGTAGGGGGAGTTGCCAACTCGGAGCTTAAGTTCGCTAACTCAATGTATAGCTGCAGGACATACAGGGAGGGATGAATATACTAGGTATTTGAGCAGTTGCAGGGGGGAGAGAAACATAGGGTATGAATATACTGTTAGCTAGAATATAGGGCAGAAATGTTTGTTCACTGATATATTCAAATACCTAGAATACCTCCTGGCATATGAAAGATTCTCAGAAAACACCTGTTAAATACACAAATGATTTACGTTTTAAAGATACTCTTTTAATTTCAGTTTTGTGTGCTGGAGGCTACTTGCACACATAGTGAGGCTGCTGGATTGTGGCAATGACTGAGGAAAGCACCCTTTCCCTCTCCTTTCTCCATGCTTCCATCTTGTATTAGTTCTTAACTGTATTTGAATTGTATATACAATTAATCAGAATATTTACTTGATGTATAAATGCCAAACATTTTATATAAAACTGGCCAGTTATGGTGCTATATATAAATGATGGGGTTACTTTTATTTAGCAGTTAGAGGAACCCCCAAAATAGTATACTATCCTTGAGTGCTGGAGAAAACTGTTCTGAACTCGTTTCCTGTAACTCTGTACATTTTTTACCTTGATATAATATTTTATTGATGAAAATATAGATTATTGCTATGGTTAAAAAGTAGAAGTAGTAGTTGGTTGATTATTTAAGGGAACAAATAGATTCAGCAGGAGGCACAGATGGATTTGAAATGAATGTTGTTTGGAAGCTTATTAGCTGAGTTATTTTAAAGTTCTCACATCATAATAGAAGTACCCAAATAAAGAAAATGTAATTTGTTGATTAACTTAGAGAATATGTCTTAGAAAGGCATATTAACTTGGAGTGTTTGTTTTAGAGATCAAAAGTTGCAGGTGCTAGGGAGAGGCTATGAATTTTCCAGGATTTTTTCAAGACATGCTACTATAGATGATGAAACATATTTTCTTCCTCAAATGTACCCATTTGCTTCCATTCTCTCTATAGAGTGGACTCACGTCTTTACACCTTGCAGCCCAGGAAGATAAAGTGAATGTTGCTGACATTCTTACTAAGCACGGGGCTGACCAGGATGCTCACACAAAGGTAAAGTGAATCACTTTCAATATTGTGACAGGTTCTGATTTGGATGACTCCCAGTAGCCCCCATTCAGGTCACCCCCAGTCCAAGCACCCTTCCTCAAAAGTCCATTCTGAATTAATTATGATTCTCTTTTACTCACAAATCTGTAATGGTTCTCCATTTTTGCCAGAATCAAGTCCAAATGGAGATCATGATATCAGGACCCTTTATAAAAGGATTCTAATTTTGCTGGCTAAGTCAACCTCTCTCCATTATTGCTCTGCCAGTCCCGATGACTTGCTCTTTTCTTCCTGTATTTGCTTGCCTCCAACCCTTGGTCTTGAAAATGGCTTTTCCTTCTCTATGCCATAAAAATTTTCAAGCCCACCAAAGCTACATTTTCATGCATCTCCTCCAGATCCTCCCATCAGACTCAGTTTTTCTTCTCTATTTTCAGATCCAGTTATTTGTGTCTCTCTTTTAGCTCTTTGTCAGATGAAGTCATACACATGTCTGATTTCCTTTGCTGGTGTTAAGTTCCTTGTGCTCAGGGATCTGTCCATATTTGTATCCACAGGAAGTGTAAATAATCTGCTCAGTAATATTTATACAGTGGAATAGAATCTTTACCCTTCCTACCATTACTGAGATTCTACCTAATCCCTCTCCCTTTGAGTATTAACTGCTAGAGTATGTATGCATTTATTTATTTATTTATATATTTATGTATTTGTCATAGCTTGGTTACACCCCTTTAATTGTGGCCTGTCACTATGGAAATGTGAAAATGGTCAACTTTCTTCTGAAGCAGGGTGCAAACGTCAACGCAAAAACCAAGGTAAATAAAATCGTTGTACTCATTTTCATTTTCTGTAAGCAAAGAGGTTCAGCCATATGAATACTTCACTAGCTCACCATAGCTACAAATGTATTTTTTTCCTTCTTAGTTCTTCTAAAGTGACTTTGAATAAGCAGTATAGTTTTGTGCAGGTGTTTGAGACTTTTCATTCTCAGAGCCTCTGTCAGCCATGTAGGTTAGCTTCAGAACTACTTTTATTATAGAGCTTAAGTAGCTCTTATCCAGTTAACAATTTACTACAGAAAAAAAGAAGCCTGCTAGATAGAACACTTTGATGTTCTGGCCAATTCTTTATGTTGTTTCAAGGCCTTGGTCCCCCTTCCTGAAACCCCCTCCTTCCGCATGAGGAAATATAGACAGGCAGCTGAGACTCTGTGCCTTTCATTTTTAAGATTTTATTTATTTATTTGAGAGAGAGCATGTGTGAGTGAGCATGTGAGTGTGGGGAGGGGCAAAAGGAGAGAGAGAATCTCAAGCAGACACCCTGATGAGTGTGGAGCCCAATGTAGAGCTCGATCCCAGGACCCTGAGATCATGACCGGAGCCAAAATCAAGAGTCTGGCGCCCAACTGACTGAACCATCCCGGCGCCTCTCATTTTTTAAATTTTAAAACTAATATTCATTAAGTGCGTGGTAGGAGTCACATATACATTATATATATATTAAATCATTTAATCCTTAAATAGCACCTCATAGTCAGGTGCTATTACCATCTCTATTTTACATAGTGAATTTAAATAACTTATCTAAGGTCACAAAGTATTAATTGGAAGAATTGGAATTCCAACCCAGACAATCTGGCTCAGGGCCAAAGGTCTTAACTGTTAACTGTGTACACTGCTCTAACTTCCACATCACTACAGGTCATTAGCGGCAATTCATTAGACCTAAAATCTTATCTGTCGTCATTCACTCTCCTACCTGCTATCAAATCCTGTTGCTTCCTTCTCCTGAGGAGTTCTCTGATCTAGTCATCCTTTTCCAGGATTTTGAGCCTCTATAATGTGACCTGATGTAATGTAGGTTGCCAGATGACCACTTCATAACTTCCCTACAACTGAACTAGTCTATTCGTGCTTCACTTTCTTCCAACTAAATATTTTCCTATTTTACCCTCCTAAGATGCTCTTTTACTTATTTAAATCTCATCTATCCTTAGACTACAACCTTTATAATGCTTTCTCACACTACTTGAACATTTTGATTACGGTCCTATGAATAACAATAGTGCTTCCTTTTTAAATGCACATGTAAAACATTTTTGTTCTTAGTACATAGTTTTAAATCTCTTTGTGTTTTTACTGGTGATGCATTATAAAAGATGTGGTATGTTCTAATCACCTCCTCTTGACCCCCTGAGGGAAGGATCCCTCCGTCTAAATATAGAGGAGATAGCTGAGAATAGGACATCCAATATAATGTAACATTTAAATCCATTTTCTTTCACTTAAAAAATGTTTTTTAACCTGTGATACCTTTCACTTATTTCTCCCAACTCCCCACCCCCTGCCTCTAGCAACCATCAATCTGTTCTCTGTACCTATGAGTTCAGATTTTGTTTTGTTTTGTTTAGAGTCCACACATAAGTGAGATCATACGGTATTTGTCTTTCTCTAACTTATCTCACTTAGCATGATGCCCTCCACGTCCATGCATGTTGTCCCAAATGGCAAGATTTCATTTCTTTTTATGGTTGAATAATATTAGAGTGTGTGTGTGTGTGTGTGTGTGTCCGCAATTTTATTTATTCATTCATCCATTGATGGGTACTTAGGTTGCTGCATATCTTAGCTATTATAAATAATGCTGCAAGGAACATGGGAGTGCATATATCTTCTTGAGTTAGTGTTTTTGTTTTCTTGATAAATACCCAGAAGTGGGATTGCTGGACCATATTTTTATTTTTAATTTTTTGAGGAATCTCCATTCTGTTTTCCATAGTGGCTGCACCAGTTTACATCCCCACCATTCCCACCAACTCTGTTACATTTGGAATATCACATGGTAATGCTTAGTGAGGCAATGATGTGTAAGGTCTGGGTTGGAAGTTGTCAAGGACAACGCAGAGCTGACTTGATCCCAAATGTTTTTACCCAGCGGTAACTGAAGGGTCCTATTCAGCAAAGCAAGGTTGGAACATAACACCACACTTCAGTACACTCAGATTGTTTCAAGGGAAAGAGAAATGAATAATACAACTTCTGCTACTATGTATAATATAACTTGCAGCTCCAACTTCCTTGGTCCAAAGAAATATGTAATTACATGTTTATTTTTTTAAGTTTATGTATCAGAAATTCTTAATGCAATGTGTGAGTGGGCTCAACTAAATTAGTGTGAGTTTTCAAAGTCATCATTCAAAATGCTAATAATTAGAAACATAAGAAGATATGGAAGTCAGTCTTTTTATATTCTCTTAGAAGCAGAAACAAAATCGTGTCTGTACATCACCATACTTACAGATGAATTAAAAATAGTTACTTTTAAAATTATAAACAATACTATTGACATTCAAGATTCCACACTTCATCTGACTCTAGCATGAATAGCAGCTGCCTAGGTTCTGAGCAATTCTTGAGTTCTCATGAAATTGTACTTTGGGCTTATTTAAAAGCTCTAATAGGAATTCTCAGGCATCAGCACCCAACACCATTTTCTGCTGAGTCAGATCACACATAATCATACAGGAAAGATTCCTATTGGAATCTAGGTCTTCTGAAAGGAATAAATGCAGCTATGCAATGAGACTTTGGAGGAACTTGAAAACAGTTACCGTATTTTTTTGTTAAGTGTGTGTTTGTTGAAATAATATTTACAAGCCATACATATTGTCTAGATAACATCGTTTACCTACCTGGGGTTTGGTATGCATTCACATAGACATTTGGTTAAGAGAAAAATCTCATTTTAATTTTTCAGGGTTTTTTTTTTTTTTTAAAGTGAACTCTGTAGATTTTACTTGCTTTTAGAAGTAAATATACCTTTTAATATGTCTTCAGGGGAGTGGATAGATACATAAATCGAAAGATGTTCTTTTAATAAACACTTCAGAATTTTTTTCACACAGAATGGCAATTTTGGAAAAGGAATTGTTTTCTGCCTCACATCTCGTGTAACTATGGTTACTAAAAATTTGTTTTGTTGCTATGAAAATGTAAACATATGTATTGCCTTTAGTCCTCAAAAATTCATGATCTGGTATAAAAATCTGGAAAAGTGAACTTTTTTATGAGACTATTAGTTGTTTAAAATTAAAATGAAATCCTATACATCAGCTTGAGGAAAACTAGATTTGGTTAATTAAATGATTAATTTGCAAAAAGCGTTTAGAACGTCAGCATGTAAAAGAAAATTTTCTTTATAAAATATACAGCAAAGATCATAGAGCTCTTCAATGAGAAAGAAAAAAAGTGAAATGTTTGTCAGCATTTCCATAGAACTTTAGATAAATTTAAGTTTCATGGGCAACATATATAATCCTTCACCAGACTTGAAATCTTGGCTATTCCCAGTTTGTAAACGAGGAAATGGAGGGTTAGAGGGATTTAGGAATATGCTAGAAGTTGGTAGAACTGGGTCTAGAGCTCCTAGGAGAATGGGCCTAAGACCGTGGATAAGCTGCAACCGAATGTTCCCATAAAAGTTTTTAAGTTGCTCCAGACTTCCCTAGCAAATATGCTCATGCACCAGAGGCTTCAGGTAAAGGTTAAATCAGGCCCGGGAGACACCTTCCTGGACACTGTGTGCATTGAGGACTCAGTAAATTGTGAGCTCTCTCTTGGGGGCAAGAATGCTACTCTGGCATTATTAATTTATGTAAGCACAGTGTCTCCTATTTAGCACATAGCATGTGGTTAGTAAATGCTTGCTAAATGAATTAAGTTGGTTGATACTGAAGAGGTGAACAAGTTTGGTTGGTAGAATATTTGTAAACATGATGAAGAAGAAGAATTTTCAGGGAAAAAAATACCACTTACTTTATGCTTCTCAAATGTCCATGAATCACCTCATTTGAGAGCAGAGTCCCTGCAATAGCAATAAGTTTCTCAGAGACCCTGTCATGGGCTTCTATTTCCAGGTTTCCTGGGGTGATGCCATTGGAGGGATATATAGAAACATGGCAGAGCTGATGATGTTCCAGACTGAAGGACACGCAGACTGATAGACTCTCACAAATACAGGGACATCCCCGTGGATGGAAAGGCCACAGCAAAAGCATAGAAGGAACCATGTGGCACCTCTTGTATACAGACAGACACTTTATGTAGACAGGAGTGGCAAAAATGCATGTTGGTCATGCATGAGGCAGCAGTGACACGAGATAAAAAGGACATATACTCCTACAAGTTTATGGTGTGAATAGGCTACTCAGAACTCAGAACCCAAACAACGGATAAAATTTCATCAGGGTGAGGCAGGTAGATAATAAAAAAAAGTTGTCGGATACCCATTGTCTATCATGATCCACACAGGTTCTGAACCTAGAATGATTGCAAAGAAATTACTTAACTGTTATTTTCCATTTCATCATCTCTGAAATGGGAAGAAAACATTTATTCAATCATTTATTCATTCACTCAGTCACTAATGATTTTTGAGACACCTCCTTTGTACCAAGCACCCTCATTTTTAGGATAACAATAAAGATTAAAAGACAACTACAAGGTCTGGCATCTGACACAAAATAAATGTTCAATGAATGATATTAATGTTTTGTTCGCCTCCAAGGATTCCAGTGCCATGTTTAATTAACGTGAATACGCAGCCAACCTGCGCCATACCCTCCAACCACCAGAGTTCTGAGCAAGATTGGCTGCGCACTAACCTCAGTAGCAATTCCTCACAAATCATGGATTGCAGAGCTTTCATTGAAACTTCCAGTTTAGACCAGAATGTTAAAAAGAACTTCATTTTGTGGCCCGCTCAGCATCCAATGAAATCTTCCGTTCTCTAAGCGTGCCCTTCTTTGACCAAAGCTGGTTCAGATTTACCTCCATTGATTTAGAATCCCTAAAGCTGGCGCAAAGATTATTAGAAAAGTCATGACAGGCAGTGTGGTTTGTATTACCGTCTGCAGCTTTCAGTTAAAAACATGTTACTTTCTTTTTCCCCAGGGAAGAAATGATAACTTTCTTTTGTCATTATAAATCTCTCAGCATACCCGTTTTTAATGCTAATTAAACTATAATAAGAGCTGTAATTTGGAGTTTGTTAGTCTTCCTATTTCATCAACTAGTCTTTTCGCTTTGTTTAGCGGACCATGAGGTGAGAGGGAGGGTTTGTTGCTGAGAAATGGGGTTGGTGGGGAAACTGAGCTCCAAATAAACATCCTTGATGGTTTCGTTGTAAGTAATACTAAGAAACTCAACATGAAGGCTGACCTAGTTTTCCTTCTCCTGCTGCAAATCCTGCTGGGTCCGTGGCCACCGTCACCTACAGAACGGCTACACGCCTTTGCACCAGGCCGCCCAGCAGGGCCACACGCACATCATCAACGTCCTGCTGCAGCACGGGGCCAAGCCCAACGCCACCACCGCGGTAAGCCAGGCGCCGGCCCCCCGCACCACGCGGCCGCCGCCGCTTCCCCCTGCTCGCCCGCCCCGGCGGCCCCTTGTCTGAGCCGGGTTCCGACACATTCCCCCTTCGATAAGCCCCCAGCACTCCGGAAAGCCCGGGATTTCTGGGAAGCCTTTCCCGAAATCAGCGTGACTTCTCCGGCAGCGCTTCCCGGGAAGGGAGAGCAGTCGGCCTGCCGCGGCCGTCTCTCTCGGGGGAGCGGGGCCCTGCGCTTAGGCTGCTGGAACGTGCTCTGCTTCCAGCTGGTGCTCAGATGTGAGCGCGACTCCACCCCGCCCGCCCGGCCTTCTTAAGGGAGCCCGGCTGGCGAGGCTGCTGGCTTAGACAAAGCTCCTCGGGACGTGGAGCCATTGAAATGTAAACTAAGCGGTGCAATTAAACAAACCGGGATCCCCAGTGGCCGGCGCTGGAGCCGGAGTTCCTTGCTTGTGTTATTTTGCTGCACTGTGAGCTTCTGCACAGCTGCTGCTAAATATGTGACTGAGTTCCCCGTGGTAACATCTTACCTGCAGCAGATGGCCTGACCTCTGACGAGGAGTAGCAGTCCTCGGTACTGCCTGATAATTTTTGGAGGCTGCATCCTCAGTTCAAGAGGTACTTTCCTAAACACAGTGGAATATTTGTAGAGATGTTTGACAACCTCAGGGTTAAAGCGTCAAGTGCTTCTTATTAGAAGAGCAGGCAGATGCAGCTTGTTGTTACCATGGTGACCCGGGCTATAGTCTAAAGAAGTTACAAAGAGATTCAGATGTAATGGTAAAAACTAGTGATTTTCCTAAGCTGTGCCTTGTTTTGGAAGGAAATGCTGGCTCATGGGGAGCAGCCGGTGAGCTCATTGGCTCACAGCACAGTCCTCCCTCTCAGTTCTCACTCTTTCTTTCACTCTCTTCAGAATGGCAACACCGCCTTGGCGATTGCTAAGCGTCTGGGCTACATCTCCGTGGTCGACACCCTGAAGGTTGTAACGGAGGAGGTCACCACCACCACCACGGTGAGTAGAAGGAGCTGATGGGCTTTGGTTCCATTGTCTTGGCTTTCAAGCCACATACTTTTGCACTTATAAAATGTGTTGAACTTTTGGTTTGGAACTTCTTTGGGCGAATATACATACAGTACACCATGGAAGTATGTGGAGGTAAGTGCATTTACACAACTAATATGGGGGTTTTAGCTTCCTTTCGTTAACATAAATCCATATAAAATGTAAACGTAATTGTATAATATTTAGTTCCTTTTTCTCCGACTGCTCCTTTTGGGGGGGGCTGCTCTGCCCTTTCACTGTAGTGGGGTGTGACACCTACCACTGGGAAAGTGGTAGGAGACTCCAGAGCAAACTGCTGATCTTAGTCAGGAGGTCATGTCAGCCTCTGGAAAGACCCTGATCCTCCTGATACTGTGCTGATGACTGGGTCAAATGCATTCCCGTGAGAACGGTTCCTCCTTACTTTCTTCTTATTTCTGATGATAATTTTTTTTGAAAAAGGAAATTGGTTGTACTTAGTAGGTCAACTGTATCTGTATCATGACAGGGCATATATTTAAAATTTTTTATTTTTGCTGGTTTGAATACGACTGCTGATTCTTTAGGACGAGCAGGGATCATTGACGGCCTTTGCCAGAGAAACTCCAGGAGAGTGAAGACATGGGAGTCCTAAGGCTCTTGTCCCATTCAATTGGAGCAAAGCTTAGTATATGTGCTGCCGAAGCGAGCACTGGAGCAAAGCTTAAAGGAGGCCTCCCCATAGGGAGACTCACAGCTGAAAGCAGAAGTGCTGTTCTCTTTGCACTTATTTATTAACTTTTTTTCTTAAGCATGGACTCTAAGAACAGCAGCTCTTTAATTTCTCTTTCAAAATAGAAAAATAGAGTGACGGTAGAACATTAGATGTTCTTTAGAGACAGTAAGATCACAAATCTACATAAAATATCTGAATGGGGTTCTAGTAAATGCCTTAGGTTGGAAAGGATGGGTATAGAGTTTTAGAACACTTGTTTCTTTTGACAGATATGTGGAAAAAGAAAGGAATTTTATTCTTCAGACTGACACCAAGTCCCTGTTGACATTGAGGCAGATGGAATACAGTTGGTTTGATGTGAAATTTTTAATAGAGTGGAGTATGATTTATTAATGAACTGTGAGACACAGCCTGAATTTAAATGGGAGAGAATAGTACTGCTTGTTTTCTCAAGCAGAGTCTTAAAACCTTTGGCTAATACACCACAATATTTTTAAAAGATTTAAAGTATGGCTTCAATAAATTATATAGGAGAAAAACAAGTCTTGTCACTACCCATCACTATACTTCTGAGTTGCTCTATATGGCTGAATCTTAATGGCTTTTTCTTACCATAATCATTTTTTATACCAGGAAAATCTTCATATTAGGGACCTATACATATGTGTCTTTATTTGGCATCTTTGAAACAATGTGCAAATCACAGATAAGTGAAGACTGTAGTGGCAAGATTGGCCAAGTACATCTGTTCTTGGGAGTCATGTTTTCTGTAATCTTTATTAGCTCAGATCACTGGTTATCATGTACATACATTTTTATCAAGTGACCACTAGATGGCAAGCTTGCATCTTTTTTTGCTACTTGACTGCTTTTTCTTCCATTCATTTCATTAACTAATTCATTCCTTCAATATTTATTGTATATAAAATATGCTCTGAGCTCTATGCTGAGTGCTGAAGAGTCATCAGTGGTGAAAACATTACCCCCCCCCCCCCCGCTCCCCAGCAGCTTACAGTTTAATGGGAGTGGAGGAGGAGACTTGGGTTTTGTAAGAAAATAAATTCTTTAACGTCAACAAAACTATGGAACTCACATGTTCAGTTTCAAAGAGATCCCAGGCCCATAAATATTACTTAGAGTGAATGACTTTAACTATATAGATCTATATTTGAAAAGAGAAGCAATTAGCTTGCTAAATACTATGACTAAACAAGTTCAGATACCTTTCAGAAATTAGACGTGGAGTCATATCTCTGCCACATCTAGCTTGAGTGGAATACAAAAACTACTTTTAGAGCTCCCTGTGAGCTTTTCTTCTGTTCTGGTAACTATTATTCTCTGCCCTGCCCAGCTGAGCATTTCCCCAGTAAAAACCACTATACTTAGAAATCAAGTTTCTAGGTAAAAAGCTGACAAACAAAATAAAACATAATGGCATGTTTGCTTTTAGTTGGGGTAAGAAGTCATTGTCCACATTAACTAAACAAGTACCCCCTTTGTCTAAATGGGTAATTGTATTGGTAACGTGTTTTGACGCTACCCTATTTTTACTTTCTGACTCTCTTAGAATTGATTCTTAGAATTGAGTTTTATTGTTTTGTGAAATTGTTTGGGGTGAAGGATTGAAAATATGAACTTATTCCTGTCTCTTATGTGAGCCTTCTTACTTTGCACTTCCTCTCTTTGGGAAGAGATTTTCATTCATACTTTTTTTTCACATAATGATATTAATGGTATTGAAAATGAGTATTTAGTGATTACAGATATGGCAGGCATTGAGGCTAGATCTAGGATTCAAATTTAGGTTGTCAGATTCTAAAGTCCATGTTCTTAACCACTCTGACATTACTTATCTTGGCTTTACTAAATGTAGCTTTTTTTTTTTTTAAAGATTTTTTTTATTTGGTGGAGACAGAGATATCGAGGGCAGGAACACAAGCAGGGGGAGTGGGAGAGGGAGAAGCAGGCCTCCCCCCGAGCAGGGAGCCTGACGCGAGGCTGGATCCCAGGACCCTGGGATCATGACCTGAGCCAAAGGCAGACGCTTAACAACTGAGTCACCCAGGCACCCACTAAATGTAGCTTAACATGAATTTTGTGAAAGAGGTGTTTTCACCTAGTTTTCTATTAAAAACAACCTACCCAAATAGTGCTTTTGGTTGATTTCCATGGAGGCATCATATTCAATATTATTTTCTAAAGTGAATTTGGAATTGCTCAATGGTGATGGGTCGATATAGCACACTAGACAAATAATTATGTAAAATCAATAAAATTAAATTTAGTTTGATGTTATTACCATTTAAATGTAATTACAGTTACACAACTAACATACAAATCTCACATCATTGGATTTGTTCGATGTGCCTTTGAGCAGCTGTGTGAGTTCTCTTCCGTCAAAGAAAGTTTCCTGTGCTAATCCTCCTTCTGAAGTTCTTTACCCCAAAGTATGAATAAAGTCATTGTGTAGGGAGAAGAGGAAGGCAGCAGTCTGTAAAGGAGAAACCACTGCTTCAGAAATTTTTGAGACATTTTGGAATTGTGGTTTGTTTCCTTAACCTTTGCTTTTCTAACTTTACTTTTGGGAACCCAGCAGGGGATATGAGGCAGTTTAGCATTCTCCCAGGATTACAGTCATTGTGTGTTTGCTGGAATGGGCATCAGAGTGCATGGGACACATTTCTGGCAGTAGAAGCCACCAAGCTCAATTGCCTAAGGCAGTTTGGAAGACCGAGATAGTACTCACCCCTCTACTTATTAATCAGCTGTCATCGAGTATTTGTATTACTTGCATAATTTTGAAATGATCATGGTTTAAGTTGCATATAATCATTGATATGTAGACCCCAAATTACTAAAATAAAAATGACATCATAAATTGCGGAATAAACTACTAAAATAAAATGACATTTTATTTATATTACCATTTAAAGAGTGGGGAAATTTTTGACAGTTAAGAAATGTAAATATTCAAAGTCCTAAATCTTATTTGAGGCTCTAAGTCAGTTAAAATGGGAATCATAGAAATAGCAATGCAGTAAATCCACCTGAAGTCATTGGACACCTCTTGAGGTGGAGTCAAGATCTTTTCTTTGAATATAGATCCACTGACTAGAAGGAGGCTAAATGATCATTCTTGCACAAAGAACATCGATATTACATACTGTATCCTATAAAACCTATATCTTGATAGTATTCATCCTGTATATACATATATATTTTAAAGATTTATTTATTATTTTTTAGAGAGCATGCACGGGGATGGGGAGGGGCAGAGGGAGGGAGAGAATCTCAAGCAGACTCCTTGCTGAGCATTGATCCTGACACAAAGCTGCATCTCAGGACCCTGAGATCATGACCTGAGCCGAAATCAAGAGTTGGACACAACGGACTGAGCCACCCAGGCACCCCAAATTCATCCTGTATATTATCTTAAAGTGACACTATTCTGAGTGCAGAACCTTTTTAAACTTTTGACATACTTTTTTTTCCCTCATCTGCTTTAATTGTCTCAACTACACCTAATTGAGTACAAATTATTTTTGGTGACTCACATTTGTTGAGATTTCCAAACCATTTACATTAGTTTTTGTAGAAGAATATTTACATACTGTTTAAATTATTATAGACATTCTATTAACATGTATAATTGGTATAAATACGTTTGGGAACAAAACCAAATTTAGCCTGTTGCCCCACTGATGGGAGCCATTGTGTGTGGGCATTAGAAGGTGGCATATTAGCCAAGATCACTCATCATGCTGGGGTGACTTGGTGAGTATGTGATACAAAGGAAATAGGTGGCGAGGGGTGCGGGCCAAGTGGAGGCCAGCTACGCACACTTCCTTTTGCGTAAAACAAACCAGATATTATCTATTTACAAACAGCACGTTAAGGACTCATGTTTTATTTTTTACATCTTTTCCACATCACAATAAATATTAAAAACTCATTATTAAGGCTTCCATCTATCTTATCCTATTTATATTGCCGTATTATCTGATTTAATTACATACTATTAAATTTGTGCATAGTACACTACCCATTTTAACTTTGAAGTGGTTTCTAATCTTGACTATAAACTCTTAGGTTCTATAGCAGATGGAGTTGCCCATGATCACTTAATTATATCTTTGTTTTCTATGTACTATTCAGATGCATTTGTATAAAGCCATATTTATATTTTGATAATCAAGTTTTCAAAGTTCACTCCATTTTAAAGGAAAATATATATCTCTTATAACATTACTCATGAGTAGGAAGACTTATTTATCATCCATTCAACAAATATTTATTGATGGTCTTCTAAAGGTCAGTGCTACATCATGAACAAATGCATACTCACTACATTGCATATAGAGGGCATTTTTATGATCTATAACAGAAAAATATCTGTGACCAGTGTGATCACTGTGTGGTACTTTTTCTGTTGCCACATATATTTGCTGGTAATAACTTTGATAGTATTCAGTGACCAAACTAAAGCAATGGTATTTCCACTCTTAGAAATTCCAGTCCACTCTTAGAAATTCGAGGAAATTATAGTCCTATTATCAGTGTCTGAAAATATAAATTAAGTACGTCAGGCAATAGAACTTATTTAAAAAATATTTCCATCACTTATTTTCAAATAGAGAAGCATCTTCTTGTGAAATGTTTCCCAAGAAGGGCAAATACTCTAGAACATCTCCGTAAAATAAGCTTTCTGGTGTAGTCTAATATGGTAGATATCCCTTCACATGTTTGAATCATTTTATTTACACTGAGAATCTTATAAAAAAAAAGTTTCAGAAAAAGCTTAATAGGTTATCATTAGCTTAATAGGATGTCACTGTCTGTCCTATATTTTAAATGCAAATCACTTTCTGCAATTTATACACTTTTCCAAATGGGTTGCAATTTGAGCTGCATGATAGATCCATCTGAGCAACTTTTTCATAGCTGAGCCCTCAGGGATTCTGACTTAATTGTTCTGTGATGGTATCCAAGTGATGGTATTTTAAAATGTTCTCTAATAATTTTAATATGCAGCTAGAGTTGAAAACCATGGATATAGAACACAGGTTTTAATTTATCCATGTTAAATTTATAAATTAATTACTATTAAGATAAGTAAATGAGGGGGCACCTGGGTGGTGCAATCGGTTAAGCATTGGACTTGGTTTCGCATCAGGCCATGATCTCAGGGTTGTGAGATTGAGCCCCGCATCCGGCTCTGCGCTCGGTGTGGAGTCTGCTTCAGATTCTCTCTCCTTCTACCCCCTCCTGCTCATGTTGTCTTTCTCTTTAAAATAAATAAATAAATCTTTAAAAATAAAATAATTAAGTGATATAATAGTCTTCTTAAGTTTAAGAAATACTTATTGACCAGCTATTATTATGCAGAATTTTTAATGGATGCTTTTGTCTTTCCTGAAGTTTAGTTTTCAGTGAATAAGACATTACAGAATTATTTAAACATCATAAGCAACATGCAGGAAAGCTGAATTCAATACTTCAGTCTCCAACTGTGCCTTCATCAGGATAACATGAGACTTTCCTTACTTTCTCAGTTTCTTCCCATTCTTTGTTTTATCACCCCAAAGAAAATCTATTTAGTTGTTATGTGGATTTTATGTATATTTTGCCTAATTTTGTATCATTGATGTATTTGATATATATTTGAGAAGCACCTGCTAGGTTTCAGGTTCTGTGGAAACAAACTGACTCTTCAGTGACTCACTCTCTCATGTGGGAGCAGATAAGGCACAGACCCTTGTGTATGGTGTGGTGTATCCCATGTCGTCAGATAATCACAGTGAAACAGACTCATCAGGGAGGATTGGGGAATGTCTCTCCAAGAAAATTACATCTACTATGAGCCAAGAAAAGAGGTAGAAGAATATTTCTGGTAAAGGAAAGAATATATGGAAAAACTTAGAGGTGTAAGAGGATGTGACCTGGGGACACGGCTGCAGCATGGAGAGAGAGAGAGGAGGCCTCCATGCCTCTCCTTACTACATCACCTGGCTCTTCTGAGCCACTTTGTCTGGCTTGTTTTCTGAGGAAATGGGGAATAACTGAAAGGGCATGTAGTGTCACATTATGATTTCATCAGTCCCTCTTGACACACGGATATTATACAGGTAGATGTGAATATATTTTCAAAGTAGTTGAATTTCCTCGTAAATCTATTTGAAGTTCTCTACTGCTTTGGGAAAGAAAAGAAGTTGGTGCCATTCAAAAAAGTCTGTAGTATCCATGTAGCAAAGCTTAAAAACCTAAGACAACCTGTTTACCCCTATATTTTAGTGACTTTAGTTGAAGATTTGACTTATTTTGAGAGATTAGGTTTTTAGAGTTCCCGTAACGATGCCACTCAGTGCACTTACTACATTTTCAGTGCAGACACTAGAGATAGGATTTGAGACTTGACAGTCTGTAGGTGATATTTAAAGTAGTGTGATTTGGTTTTGTTTTTTTGTTTTTTTTTTTAAATCACTGTGGTATCCCTGGTTGTCTAAAACAGTGCCAGCGTGTGATAGGTGCTCAAAATGTTTCTTGAGTGCCTGAATGACTAAAAAGTTCAGAGGCTCTTCAGTTTTAAGATGAATTTAATATTGAATTACAATTATAATAATGATGTTACACTAGCTGATATTTATTGAGTGCTAACATAGTCCAAGCACTGTTCTTAGAACTCGTATGTATATTATTTCATTTAATCTTCATAACAATTTTATGAAGTAGTAGTATTATCCCTGTTTTATAGATGAGAAAATTGAGAAATAAGGAACTTGTTAAGAAATGACAAAGTTAGAATTCGAACCCAGGCAGCCAGTCTCCAGAATCTGGTCTCTTAACCTTACATCGCCCATCAGGAATGGAAGGCAGTGAACTTGGCAACTCTGGGGTGCCTTTGTGGAAGGCGAATAAGCAAGAAACCAGAATTGTAGACCAGTGAAACGGTCTACAATTTGATTGACTCTCTACTCTTGATCCTCTGATCCCAGAAGAGATGCATCACGTTTTCCGCCCAAATAGTTTGTCTTTCACATTGTTTACAACTTCTTTTCCAATGGCTTTGTTTTTAATAAATTACGTATGTTCATTGCTTCTTTTTAAACTTTTCTGGAGACATTACTTAGTTCATTTTAGGGAAGCCCTGAAAACATTTGTCTGCTTTCTTAATATGACTAATTATTAATGCCATCATTAAAGAATTTATTTTTCAAATAGGAACTCAAAATAATGAACTTCTTCTTGTACAACTTCACTGGAATCAATCATCATTTATCTTCCAAAAGAACAAATGAATTTTCATGGAACAGAATAAGCTTCCAGAACATACATGTAGGAAGATGAAATGATCAGGGACTGATGGCTTGCTGATGCTATCCACGGGACCTCCTCTGTGATTCTTTTCTCTTTTGTTTGATTTTTAACTTGCGTATTAATGATTTTTTTTTTCTTTCCAGACTATCACTGAAAAACACAAGCTAAATGTTCCTGAGACGATGACTGAGGTTCTTGATGTTTCTGATGAAGAAGGTAAGATTTTTATTTGATCTTCATTGTCTTACACAAAGACAAGCCGTCCTTGTCCTCAGGGACTAAGCTGGTACAGTGGGTGTGGGTGACAGCCTCTTAACATTTAAAGTCACTTTTTCACCTCTGTTTCAAAACACCTACTTTTGTCCTTTGGGGAAAGAGGATAGTGATTAGTCTATTTTCAATGGGTGTTATCTTTAATGTCTTACTAAATAACAGAACTGGAAAAGGGGAAAGACACTGGAAATTGGCTATCTGTTAAAAACACCTACCTGATAATACAATTATTATTAATACGTGTTTTAGTTATGTTAACATACTTTTTAAAATTAAAATGCCTTAAAGTGAAAGACTTTGAAGTATATTCTCTCAATGGTATATTGAGAAATCTCTGTTTCTGATTGGTTCAAATGATCAGAATAAATCATAAGTCCAGAGGAGAGGAGGCTTAGATAAGGTTAAAAATAGCATGTAAGTCATACTAATTCAACGTAAGAATTTGATTCTTTAAGTCATAAAATATGCTCTGTATAGTTTTAGAGTTGATAAAAATTATCTAAGGTAGTGGATTTCAAACGTTGAGAAGCCTGTTGCTCTAAAAGGAGTACAAGGGACTGCCTGGCGTGGGGATGGAGCATTGTGCTGCAGGGTCTGTCCCTCCACGAGGGTTTCTGGCTCCTTACCTCTACTTCAGTTAGAGCAGTTGACTTTTCTTGAACAAAAAAATCTGCCAAAAAATCATGAATGCAGCAAATGAGGTATGTAGCCAAATTTCAGTAGTACCGCTTTTGGTCAAATGTATATGTTTGAAAAATTATTACCATAAAGAACAGTACTAGTTAAAACTTGCCACACACTGGAGAAGGTCCAAACACTCCCCACTGCAGGCAAAGAGAAACTCTGCCGAGACTAATCTGAGGGAAAGAGCAGCCAAAACCCAACAGCAGAGTGCACACAGCACACACCAAAGACATTTCCTGAAGCACCAGGCCCTGGACAGTGTAGGACCTCTTCTTCTTCTTTTTTTTTTTTTTAAGATTTTTTTTTTTTCTTAATTTTATTTATTTGTCAGAGAGAGACAGAGTAAGAGAGAGCACAGGCAGGGGGAGCAACAGAGGGAGAGGGAGAAGCAGGCTTCCCGCTGAGCAGGGAGCCCGATGCGGGACTCCATCATGGGACTCCGGGATCATGACCTGAGCCGAAGGCACTCGCTGAACAACTGAGCCACCCAGGCGCCCTCTATGACCTCTTCTTAATACAGCATTACTCTGAGGAGCAGAAAACCTAACAGGCTTTCCTAATACACACAAGACAGAGATCTAGACAAAATGCCAAGTTGGAGGGACTCATCTCAAAAGAAAGAACAAGAAGAGGGCACGGCCAGGGATCTAATTAAACCAGATATAAGTAATACGCCTGAACCGGAATTTAAAATAACAATCAGAAGGAGACTAGCTGGGCTTGAGAAAAGCATAGAAGACACTAGGGAGTCCCTCACTGCAGAGATAAAAGAACTAAAAAACTAGTCAGGTTGAAAAGAATAGTACTATTCTCAATAATAATTGCTTTTATTGAGAAATAGTAAAAGTAGATTTTTAGGTTCTTCAAGATGTAATCAGAAGGTGAAATTTTACATTGAGGTGTCGTTATTTGGAACTAGTTCGTTCACCGATTGGTAATAGGCACTGAGTTATCTCAGCTTTTGTAAGAACTTATGACAAGAACGAGCAAATGTTTGGTCAGTGCATTATTATAAGTAAATTAATAATTGCCAAAGTTAGCATTTCCAAGTATTATAATAATTTTGTGTTCCATCCTAATACTTGCCAGCTAATTTTCGTATTCATATATGCACATCGTATTTTGTTTTGTGGGATCATCTTTCTTAACAGCCTTTAAACAGTTCGGTGACAACTTTATTGATGGGGAAGCACTTAGTGATTCAGGTACCTTTAGAGGAAGTTATTGGAGTGAAAGCTTTGCTTTTAATTTTTCTTAACTGGATAGAAGCAACTTGCTTAATATTTAAATCTGGGTGCCTACTACTAATCTGTTTCTTTTGAAATAGCATGGAGTTGTATATGTATGCATGTGAGTGTGTAGATTTTATTAACTTGGAAGCTTAAAGCCATAAATTGCTTATCCTATTAATGATTTTGCTGCTGTTGTTGAGACCTATTAGTATCATTAAATTTTCTAATGAGCATCATATAAATATTTTACCAAAACTAATCTCTCTTCTAAGAATACACAGAGAAAAAAATAATTCCCTTTAAGTTGACATTTAACTACCATGAACCTGTTAAAACTAAGACTGCTTGACTGAATGTACTTCATATCATTCTTGGCTGAAGATAAGTTTTAGATGTGGTTAAAAAATATGTGAAATTGATAGTTATAATGTGATTTTTGAAGGTAGCTAGGAATAAAAATAACCCTTAAAATTATTTAGGAGGAGCTTCAGCATATAGGGAAAAATGAATAATATAAAATATTCTATCTACCAAGAAGGATCCAAAGTGCATGTGGTATCACTTGAAGCAAACTTCTTACATGCAAATCTAAATTTATAAATCAAATAAATTAGAGTGATTATTTAATTTAAAAATAGTTTATTTCCTAAATAATTGTGAAATAATTCCAGTGCCAATGCATTCAAAGTATTGAGTGGGATTAAAGAAATTCCATTTATATAAAATAGCTTTTTGGACCTGCTCATTGCCTAATATAAGATCTAGCTATAATATCCTGTATACTTTTATTAAAACTGTTATAGATTAGAGTTTTTAGTGATAAAAAGTCTTGCTTTTAGAGGAATATTGGCTAATGATCAAGAATATCTTTTATGGTGAGAGAAGAAGCTTTGCTTCCTTTAGACCTAGCCAAAACCTTAATAACACATTTTTCCCCAGAAAGAAATTCAAGTTGAAAAATTTTTATGTATACAATATATTTGAGTATTGTGAAGTGACTTTTAGTGCTAAGAATTAGTATAAAGAAATTTGGCTGGTGGATATTGCCAACGCTTCAATGTTTTATGGGCTTAAAATGTTTTCATGGAACCTACCATTCATATGGACAAAGTGCAGCCACATGTATTTTAAAGGTATTAGCCAATTCTTGCCTTTTTTTTTTTTTTTTTACAGCTCTTCTGTTTTGATAGTTGTGTGTATTATCAATACTCAAAAGAATATTCAAGCCAAGTATAGATGTCCTTTCAGGCTAACTTGATATAGTAATCAGGATATCCGCTCATGAATCCAATCAACAGATAGTAAAAGTGATGTTACTACTGTGTGTAAAGTTCTATCACTGCTACCACTGGGGCATCAGAGGTGAACACAGGGCATGCCTTTATGCCTTTATAGACAGGGAGATAATGTAGAAGTTAAATGAAGTATAACAGAAGGCACTGTGTCATCCACTTTTCATATCTGCCTTGGGAGCTAGGGAAGGAGAGACCTAGCACAGTCCCGTGGACTTGCCAAAACTGAGAGATTAATAGGAAGGTGACACAGGTTTTAGAGAGTGGGGAAGGAACAGTATGGAAGGTCCTGAGAGGCGAAAGCACGAGAGAGAGACACAGAGTGGCAAAATAATCCAGTCATTCAATTTGGCTCATGCATTAAAACATACTGGGCTTCACTGTGAATGTTTGAATTCTTAACTGAAAAGTCTGGGAAATTAGGATATATTAAACATTTTGATTAATGATTGAAACAAATCTGATTTTCACAAAGATTAAACCAGCAGTGATACACTAAAGGAGTGTATTAGGAAGAAATTGGAAGGAAGCACATATATTTGACAGAGGAGAAAACATTTACTAAACATCCACAATGCTAGGTGCATTGTCTCATTTAATTCCCATAGCATCCACATGAGCGAGGCTTTTGATTTCCCCTCATTTTTTTTTCAGGTGAGGAAAGGCTCACCTGAACAGGACGAGACTAAGACTTAAACACATTAAGTAGTTTGCTCCACAGTACACAGCTATTAAGTGGTAGATGGGGAATGTAAACCCAGTATGAAAGCTGTTATAATAGCTCAGTCATACTATAAATAAGTCCTGATGGAACAACATGGCAGAGAAATGGAAGGAAAAGATAGAAATGGGAATTCAACCTGAGAGTATTGTACCGTGCAGATGAAAACACAGCTGTAAATGTAATCCTCTACATCTTCATAGGATCATGAGCTGAGCCCTACCTTTGCTGACTCAGCTCCACAGCAGTAAGTTATATGGTGGGGCTCAGGGGTGATAACACTTATGTAACTAAAATACCTGTAGAAATGTGACCCATGTGTCCCACATACTCAAAGGTTTGTGCATGGATGGTTTGTACAAACTCCTCCACTGGTTCTCTGGAATGATGTGTACTAATGATAATCAAGAGAACTCCAGAATGGCTGAGTGTTACGATGAAATGTAGAGGAACCATCTGTTATCTCCTTTTGTCACACTTTGGCTGTGAACTCTTGACAGTGGGGCTCCTCACTTCCTCCTTGTATGACATGACAGATACTTCATCTAACTATGGATCTTTTTCATAATAAGAGTAGAGTTAGTCTTCCCAAGTGTTAACAAGTTCACATATTTTTTTTTTCTGGAAATAATTTAGACTTATATCCAAACCAGACAATGCCTGTGTTTTGGTAAACTAATTCAGAGAATTGTTCTTAGAATTTTTTTCTCCCAGAAATAAACAAAGGGGTACCCCAACTTATTTGACTCATAAAAATACTCCTATGTAAAGATTTACCAATTACATAAGAGGAGGGAAGTAGTAGAAACAATTAAGTCCTACAAGGCTTATAATAAGATGTCTAGCCTTGATTTGATCACTGTTCAGACACTAACTTTCTTCCTGGACTTTTTGCCATTGCTCACCATCATGAACGTTAACTTTTGCCAAGTTACATCGGGTAGTATTCTCTGAATAAGTAACGCGTATTACTCTTTTATTCTCACTGTTTGTATTGTCCTCCATGACCCCTTACACACGAGCCTCTCACCTAAAGTAGTGTCAACCTCTGCCCATTAAAACTGAATCCAAACAAATGATCAGCTCCAATTCCTTCTTCAGTGACTCCTTCTCCAGCTTCACTGAATTTCCTAGGAATATCACAAGAAATTACCACAAACTTGGTGGCTCAAATTTATTCTCTCACAGTTCTGGGAGTGAAAATTTGATGGCGGGACCATACCAACCTCTGATACTCTAAGGAAGAGTCTTTCTTGTCTCTTCCAGCTTCCAGTGGCTGTCAGCGATCCTTGGTGTTTGTTCCTTGGCTTGTAGACACATCACTCCAAACTCTGCCTTCATGTGGCATTTTCCTCTGTGTCTCTGTCTAAGAACACTCTGATTGGAGTTACCCAATGTGATCTCATCTCAGTCCTTAACTTAGTTACATCTATAAAAGCCCTATCTCCAGAAAAGGCCCTATCCTCAGATTCCAAATGGAAGTGAAATTTTGGGGGGACGCTACTGAACCCCCCCACACCATCCTGAAGTGATCTCTGTCCTCTGACCTTTTTGGTTCTTAAAGTTGACCAACATCATGCATTTTGTGTTTGACTGTAGTGTTATCTGTAGATTGCTGTTATTGCCACATCTTGCTTTGTGAGGGAACACTTTTTTTTTTTAATTTTTTTTAAGATTTTATTTATTCATTTGAAAGAGCGAAAGAGAGAGCACAAGGAGGGGGAGAGGCAGAGAGAGAGGGAGAAGCGGGTTCCCCGCTGAGCAGAGAGCCTGAGATGCGGGACTCGATCCCAGGACCCCGAGATCATGGCCTGAGGTGAAAGCAGACACTTAACCTTCACCCAGGTGCCCCTTTTCACTTTAAAGAAGAAAATATATGTAAGGGTGGGCAGGAGACCCCTTTAATAAACATAATTTTAAAAACTTTACTCATGTTTTCCTTAGAGCTATCAGATTTATGAATATTTAAACACAGTACAATTATATTTCTTTCTTTATGATATATACATTTAAAAATATTTTTGTAGGGGCACCTGGGTGGCTCAGTCAGTTAAGTGTCTGCCTTCAGCTGAGGTCATGGTCCCAGAGTCCTGGGATTGAGCCCCACATCAGGCTCCCTGCTCAGCAGGGGGGTTTGCTTCTCCCTCTCTCTCTCCCCCAGCTTGTGTTAGCTCTCTCTCTCTCTCTCTCAAATAAATAAATAAATAAAATCTTTAAAAAAAAGAATATTTTTGCATAAATGGAATTGAGCTCATATTTCATTGATGTGTCACACTTTCGCCATTTTGTATTAATAAAAACAATAGGTAGCAATTAGTATATTCTGGCACTTGATTACACATTCTTATATGTTATTTAATTCATACAACTACTGTGTGAGGTAGATTATTAGTATCATTCCCATTTACTAGTTGTGGAAATTGAGGCTCTGGAAGATTAACAGGCCAGTAAATAACAGAATTAGAATTTGAATCCAGGTCTATCTGATTCTAAAGACTCAATTTTTAATTAATACTCTGTGTAGCCTAACTCATTATGCTAAAATGCAATAAAGATCTAATGGTGTCACTGAAGGAGCCATGAAAATATTTTTAATGATGAGACTTATTATAACTGTCAAATGTTAAATGCATTCACTTTGAGACAAAAATCTAATGGTTAATAAATTATATCTCCACTTACTGGAAGGTCTTTTTTTTTTTAATCTGTCATTAGTTTTAAGTAATTTAAAGAGCTAATAATCCTTTTATATATACCTGAGATCTTAAGATCATATATATAGACAAACAGTGAAATGTCAGACATATATCTTTCTTACAATTCTTTAATGCTGTACCTTTATAAATTAGTGCTGATTTAGAACAATTACTTGAAACAAATGAGTATAGAATAATGAATATTTAACTTAGTTTATAGGAATGAAGTACATTCCTTCAAATTGTCCTTTACATAGATCATCAGGCTTAAAGTGTATGATTAGTGTCTTAAGGAGTCATCAAAAATAGTTTCTCTCAGCTATATTATTTATTTCTCCATGTCAGCATATTAATGGCATACAGAGCACTTCTGTGAATGAGGTATTACTTATTGACTCACCTGAAAAAGATATTTTTGAAAGCATTCTATTCCTAGTCACAGGCAGGGAATGTACCCTTACCATTTGATCTTCTAAATATGAGCTACCACACTTAGTCATCTCTTTCTGCCGCTACTTGATTACTTAATTCTCTATTTTCCCTGTCATTCACCTTTGGGAAGCCACCTAGTTTCCAACAAAACATCCTTTTTATGCTCTGTAATGTTTTTAAAATTAAATTCCAGGTTGTTTATTAAAATGTCACAATCTGCTCACTTTGTTCTAGTATTCTTTCCCTAATGTGCATATCTTGTTAATCCTATAAATCATATCCCTCCACATACTATATCACATATTTTAGAGCAGTAGATATTTCTTTCTATTTTTTGTTAAGGTTTTATTTATTTGTTTGAGATAGAGATAGTGAGAGAGAGCACGAGCCAAGGTGGTGGGGGAGAGGGAGAAGGAGACTCCCCACTGAGCAAGGAGCCCGATGCGGGGCTCCATCCCAAGACCCTGGGATCATGACCTGAGTTGAAAGCAGCCGCTTAACCGACCGAGCCACCCAGGTGCCTGGAGCAGTAGGTATTTCTTAGTATATTGCCAATGACACGAAGAGACTGTTAATGCCAGACATTATGTACAAAATTATTGGAACTATGTCTAGAAGTTGAGTAGTCTACATAGTGGACTATGTTAAATAGTACAAGCTATAAACCAGCTATGGTAAAAAAAAAAAAAAAAAGAGTAAAGAAAATGGATATTAAGAGAATTACAATTCAGGTAATTCTTTCTTCTTGGTAAGCAATTGGAAAATGGGTCAAATATTGTTTCTCTAAGTTTTAGCACTTTGTGGTTGCATGTGTTCTGTTTTCTTCGGGTGTGCGGTGTTCCGGTGATGTCCATGCTATTCTGATGTTTTTTCATGATCATCATCCTATTTTGTAGTTAATACTAATACTAATCCTCTGATTGCTTCAAGGTGATGACACAATGACAGGCGATGGGGGAGAATACCTTAGGCCCGAGGATCTGAAAGAACTGGGTGATGACTCGCTACCCAGCAGTCAGTTCCTGGATGGTATGAATTACCTGCGATACAGCTTGGAGGGAGCACGATCTGACAGGTATTCACCGAAAGCTGACATTGGTATCAGCCAGAAGGCAATGCAACACTTTTTCATGATGATAATAAAAAAAAAGTAGACATAATTACTGATACTTAGCAGGTACTGCCCTACTCTCAGCATGTTGTATCTCGAGCAACATTAAGTGCCTATTTTAAAGAACAGGAAACAGGCCCAGAGAGATTAAGTAACTTAATAAAAGTCAAACAACTAGTAAGAAGCAGAGCAATGATAAGTAAAGAGCTCTCTACATTTCAGTATAGTGTTTGTAATCATTTACCACTTTTTTCTCTAGGCAATTAAAAAGGACTGTTTTACCTTATGGGTATTTTTGTTAGTGGCATAAATTCTGTGAATAAAAGTATTTTGTGAAGAAGGATGAAAAAGAAACAAATTCCGGAGGAAAATGCCTGAAACTGACTTTTTCATGAAAAAGAATTAGACCAAAATCCTCCAAGATCTTGAATACAAAAGCAGTCTGAGCAAAATCTGAAGGAGCACAGGCTTTATAGACAAATCTGAAGAGGTTCATGTCATATTCTGAAGTATAAAATCAATGTTATTTTCTGATTATTACTAACTAGCACAACTGGTGTTTGTTATTTTTTGAGGCAAGCTGAATAAGAACATCCCATGGTACCTCATCAAAGGATTGACTGCCAATTTCAGTTAACATATGGTTGTCCATATAGTGTAATGTTTTTCACGAATCAGTAATCTTAGGTTTATAGTTTTAGTCTTGGCTGTATTCTAAGCTGTAGTTAACACATTCATAGTCTAAGAAATAAATACCTTAAAACGTAGTTAATTCTAAATGCATAATTAGCAAAAACAGATTTTTCTTGGGGTTTTTCCTTGAGCATCAGTGCCTCTTCCCTACTTTTTTTCTTTCTTTCTTTTTTTTTTTTTTTGAACAATTCAGTGTGCATGTAATAAGTGCCTTTCTGGGCTGGCTTTGTGGTGGGTGCTAGAGATACAAATGTGACCAGGACATGATTGTTAAAATCATAGTCTGATGGGATGTGAGAGAAACTAGGCTAGTGGTACCCACAGAGTACAACTAAAGCCCCGGGGCTCAGGTTTCCTGGAGGAGATGAGGCCAAACTGAGATACAGTGATGGGTAATGATGGTGAGGAAAGGTAGGGAGGGCATTTGAAGCCTTAATGAGATCATGAGCAAAGGCTCATGGTGTATGAGAGAAAGAATAGTGCAGTATTGGTAGAGTATAAGTGTGAAGGAGGGGAGATCTTGTCCGCATTTTGGATGGATCCCTCTGACTATAAACTTAAACGATGAATTTTAGAGGAGAGTTGTCAAAGGGCCAAACCTGGCAGTTGCAAACATCTGAAAAACTATTGTAGGAATATTAGCTGAAGCTGTTAAGAGAAGACTTGACCTTTAACCTTGGTGGTAGCAATCATGGAGAGAATTTGGGAAATGACAAATTTGAGAGCATATCTATGAGGTAAAAGCAGCCAGATTTGGTGATGGATTTCATGGGATGGGTGAAGAGGAAGATGGTTAGATTGACCCTTTGGCTTTGATGATGTAGATGGAGGGTGGTCCTTGGGGTCAAGAGAAGGAAGAGCCACTCGGGGTGAGAGTGGGGGGACTGGTGATGGGACCAGTGTTTTATATACTGGATTCTGACATACAGATAGATTTGGACATCACAATCTGAAATTCTTAGGAAAAGATTTCAAATTTCGATAAAATGAAATTTATGGCTTTACACAAATTCATAATAACCTATAAATAATCATATCACTATCAGAGAAAAAACCCTTCATTTTCAACATGGTCTATTTTATCAAGTTCTTGATCTGATCCTTTTTCCTTCTTTGAAAGTACTAGGTTAAGGAAACTTTAGAACAATACTTTCTATTAAACAGGTTCATGGTATGATGATTCTACTTAAACTGAACACTTATCAGCATGTAAAGATGCGGATATGAAACAAACAAACCATGGTCTGTTCTCCAGGTCCACACTAGCATTTTGAGAACCCCAGATTGTATTCATGATCTCCTACATGGAATTACAGGCAACATCTCATTTTCATGGATTTCCTGTTTCACTGATTTGTAAAAAATTTTCTTTATGTAATTCAATGGGAGTTTTCTTTTTTTGGTAACCATTTTTACTTTTCATTATTTATTTGGTATGCTTTCAATAGTACCATGCCCAGGTAGGTATTAAATAGCATGAAAACACTGTGAAACTTCCTGAATACATTCACATTTCCCTGCTTTCTGTTCAATGTGTGTGTGTGTGTGTGTGTGTGTGTGTGTGTGTGTGTGTGTGTATGTGTTGGCAGGAGGTGCTTATATTCTAGAATTATGGATTTATTCTCAAATTAGGATTTTCATGTATTGAATTGAATAACTGAGCTAGAAGGGTGAATATATTACTAGAATACAAGTCGAAGACATGCCCCTGGCATGACTTTGTTTAACTGTCACAGCTCCACCTTGTGGTTGATAAAACATTAGCATGGTTTCCCCAAAGGAACCTCATCAGTCTGTGCATGGTTGGAGATGGTAGAAAAACCATTCTGATGCCTAAAATGTACATGGATGCAGGAGAACACAAATCAGAACAATTTAATGTACATGGATAAAAACATATCCAAGTTCTTATTAGTTAGATTTTGTGTCCATTTTATTTTATTATTGCTTACAAATTAAATTTAATGTGAAACGCAAAGTATCAATGAGCCACAGAAGCTTTTCCATGCAATAAAGCAAACACATTGAAATTTTTGGATATTCACTAGTTTAATAGGGTTCAAAAACTTCATTAATTGAACGTCTACTCCTACAGCTTACTAAGATACTGATTATTACATTTTTCAATGAAATTACAGACCACCTATGTCCACAGAGTAGTTTACTGTAGTGCAAAGAAGTAAAATTTAAGACCGTAACATAACTTTTGGCACAACCCTTCATTGAACAGCAAGTACAGACTTATACTCCTATAGATATGTGTTATTATAAATTTATTAACTGAACAGGATGACCTCTGACTTACCGAAAAAGAAATGTGTTGGATTGTAAAGTATTTAACCTTGTTTGTAATGTTTTAAGTCAGGGTAGACAATTTTTTATCCAGAGACTTGAATTATTCCTGATGTTTGTGCTGGTCATTATTCCATTCGAATAATTTCTCTACTGCTGGAATATTCTAATTTTGTTTATTTAAGTAAATTCTATACATCAGAAAAAAGAGCAGTTAGAAACTATAAACATTGATTAAGCATCCAATTAGTATTTTAGAAGGCAGTAAACAGTAAACCAGAATAAAATCATAGAAGTAGAGATATTTAGGCATAGTTCCAGCTTACTCCTCCTTCCTCCCTCCCTCTGTCTCTCCAACTTTTCTCACTCTCTGTCTCCATATCCTAATATTTTTCTCTCTCTACCCTAATCTCCTTTTTGGTTGTAAGTCAATTCTTTCTCTTTCTTAGTTTTTCTTCTCCCTCTCTATTTCTTGTCTGTTGGGGCTTTAGGAAAGACAAAAAATAACACCGATACCCCTTTTCCCCACCTGATTCAAACCAATTGAGAGATAGACCTGGGTATCAGATAGATCGATATCACAAATCCACCTTTATTACTGGTATATTGAGTGCAAAATGCGGCTCTGTGCTTGCAGCCAAATGAGCTGTTTCATACCTCATTCCTAAGTAGGCAGACATCCACCCAGTTCTGGTCTCTCCCTGAGGGTGAATTGGGACCTGGCTGCCTCCTTCCAAAGTTTAGACCTTTACAGTGGTGGTAGTTACGTTGTGCGCAGGCATGTCTAGTCCTATATACCTCTTGTTCCTTATGCGTTTGTTCATGCATATCAATTTAACGCCTTTACATGCATAAAGTTACAATTCGGACCTTTGAATTCTAAAGCCATGGATAGAGATTCAAGGTTAGGCCAGAGTTAATCCTAGCAGGCTGCAGCCTGTTTATGAAGTGCACCATCAAAATCCAACTGCACACCTGTAAAACCAGCCCCAGTATCGGCTGCCAGGACTAAAACCCCTACGGATGGTCTCACTAAGGCGTCTGGGCTGCCCCTGCCTTGGCTGTGTCCGGAGCCTCGGTCTTCTTCAAGAACCTATATAACATAAAATAGTAAATTACTGAATTATATTTAGATTTCGTTTTATTATAAACAAAAATTTATACAAGATCAGACAGTCAACTCCTTTAATTCATGTCACCTACCTTCTAATATTCCAGGTCTACTTGGGGGGCATAAAAACTACAGCAGAGGGCGCCTGGGTGGCTCAGTTGGTTAAGCGACTGCGTTCTGCTCAGGTCATGATCCCCAAGTCCCTGGATCGAGTCCCGCATCGTGCTCTCCGCTCAGCAGGGAGTCTGCTTCTCCCTCTGACCCTCCCCCCATCTCATGCTCTCTCTCACTCTCTCTCTCAAATAAATAATAATTATATAAAAAATTAAAAAAAAAAAACTACAGCAGAATAGGATGGAGAAGGCCCTCAAGTACTATGATTGATCTACCAAATGATGATTTCCTCAAAGATAATTGAAGTTGGCTACATCGACAGCTCATAAAAATGACAGTATGTGGCTCACAAAATTAGGTCTATTTGCAAAATGAAAATAGTTTCTACTAAGAAATATGCTAACCTGACACTTAGTCCATAATTCTACAGTGCTTCACTGGCCAAATACCTACTAGCTGAAAGTAAATGAAACTTTGCTTCTATAAATATTGTGAAAGCTTGCATCTCTCGCTCTTTCCCTATGGGCTTTGGGCTACTATTTTGAATACAGATGTTTAATTCTTGGACTAATGTGTATAAAATACAGCTTGAGATATCAGTCTATTTGTCATTTGATCGTACAAATTGATTAGGAAGGAATGAATTGCACTTATGCAAATGTCAAGCTTTACCCATCACATTTGCATATATAATTCAGAACTCGGAAATTCAGCCTTCTCAAATATATAAAGCATCAATTCCCAAGGCCTAAATCCCATGTTGAAGCCAAACCTCATTTTCGGCTGTGTCTCTGGCGGTTTGTTTCTGTGCTGACAGATGTGTCTGTGTCCTGGGTTGGTGCTTAGAAACGGTTTCTTGTGCTCTTGCATCTTATTGCCACAGCAACCAGCACTCTTTGGTGCCTCACTCACCACACAGAGGACATGCAAAGGGGAACAATGCTGCCCTTTGAAAGCATTGTTGGAGACACCAGAGACAAACAAGAGGAACTGCACTTCCGCAGGAAGCATGCATCTGGCCGCAGTTCATTTCACTCTGTACCTTCCAGGGGAATGCACCCATGGTCAGTCATTCGCAGTTGGAGAGGAGGAGAATGAGGCATGCAGAGAATGGAGAATGAGTGAGGATGAAACCCGTGCTTCCTTTCTGTTCTTTCTGAGGCGGGTCTCGTTCCTCCCCCCCTTAATATTTTGCTTAGTTGCAGGGAGATTGACATTTACCACAGATTGAAGCAGTCTCTTCTAGCATAATTTCCTGTGTGAATCTCTTGTCCTGGCAGTAAGTGAGCTGCAGTTTGCTGGTTTCAACGATTTCTGGGGAGGAAATAAATCAGATTAGAAGTATCAGATTTTAACTTCTGGATTCCCTTGTGCCCTTGCCATTGAGTGCTAGGAACCAGTCAAAAGATGTGTTCGTTTAGGTGTTGGACAGAGAGGGAGGGCAACACAGAGACCTGTGTTTCCTTCTCCTGCGGTGGCAATTCATGTTCCCCTGGAAGTTGCACTGTTAGCTAATAGCGCGCTTTTTTCACTCTCCCGCTCGGCTCATCCTTCCATCCTCCCAACCCTGCTCCGGCTGTTGGTAAATGACCATGGCCTCCTGCCAACCTACCAGCCTCCGATCCTTCAGTTCCGACAGGTCTCACACCCTGAGCCATGCCTCTTACCTGAGGGACAGTGCCATGATTGACGACACAGTTGTCATCCCCAGCCACCAGGTACGTGACTTTTTACTTTGTCATTTCAGCTTTCTGGAGAGCTTTCGGACGTTCCCTGTTGCTGGAAATGTCCAGAGAAAGTTTTTCCATCTGAAAAGAAATCATCTTAATTCAGTTGACGAGCTGGGCTAAGAGTTTGAGGGCTTTTCTAAAGTGAGATACAGCTTGTTACTTCAGCTCTACTGAATTCTTCTGTGGAGATTATATATAAAAATTAACATCTTTATAAAAATCTCTGTTAAAGGAAAAAGTGAGATGGGGTGCATTTAAGATAGAAAATGAAAGGTACAGGTAAAAATACACCTTATATTTAAAATTGTTATCTGTTATCAGAAAACTGTTAGAGGTTGTTATGGAATATTTTAATCTTAGGTGGATTTTATCAGTTTCAGCTGGTTGGATATAGAGAAGTAGATGTGAATACCTACTCTCTTTCATGATAATTACACAAATGTGGTCTTAGGTCGATAGTATAATTTAAATGGGAATGTATTATAAAACACATTTTAAATGGCTCGGTCTTACATCATATTTTTACATGAAAAGATGGTAATATCACCTTCCTGTGATAACTACTTTTTAGAGTTCACTATGTTTTATTTAATTGAAGGAAAGTATTTTTATTAAATCCAGTGTTCTTTGTATTTAGGTGTCAACTCTAGCCAAGGAGGCAGAAAGGAATTCTTACCGTCTCAGCTGGGGCACTGAGAACTTAGACAACGTGGCTCTTTCTTCCAGCCCTATTCATTCAGGGTGAGGAAATCAATATTATGTATCCAGATCAAGAGGTAAAAAGAGATGAGCATGAAAATAACAGCTTTGTCCAGTAGCTTTAGCTGGTGGCTAGCTTACAGGGGAAGTGACCTTTGTTTAAACTTGTAAATGACAATGCTTTATCCAGTGTGGACTCTACCTGCACAAATGGACGAGCAAAAAGGGTTGAATTCAGCATAGAAAAACTATTGTCTTAAAATAACTAGTAGAATTGCATCAGACAGCTTGCTAACTAACCAGAATATACCAGTGGGCTCCTTACTATTCACATTTTGTCTTAAAGACATCTTAAAAAGAGGAGCAGGATCATTTGGTTTCTAGAAAGTTCTATGTACTAAGATTAACTGACTAGTTTAATAAATGCCTTTCCTCACATATTCATGCATTTAAAACAATGTCTACAAAAGTTTTAATCACAAAGATATATAGAGGAGTTCCTATGCTGTTTGAAGTAGGGATATACCAAAAAGGGAAATTTGAATGCAACCAGTCAGGTTCTCAGTCACCTTCTAAAAGTCATCCAGATAATATGTAAGTCATTACTTAAGAAATGCTGCCTGTTTGTATAAACTCATTAAAAAGTAGGACTTTGAGTTAATAATTTTAAACATACTTAAAGATGTTTGTAAGGTGTAAGAATTCAATTATGCAGAAAATAATTTTCTTAGGGATTTTAAATTGTAACCCTCTTCACAATTGGTTTTTCCCTTACATTTTGGTAGTTTCAACTTGTATAGTAATTTTATTATTATATATAAACCTTAAAAATATTTTTCATTTAATCACTTTCATTTTCATTTTAAAAAGCCCCACTTGTATTTTATCTGTGCAGTACTTTGATTTAAATTACTATCCCAAACTCCTTATCCATAATCCCCAGAACTATTTTGAGTGGTGGTTGCTTTCTTGTTTTTATTATTCTAAAATATTCTCTCAGAAAAGCTTTCAAAGATATTGTCATTACAAATTTGGGAACTTTTAGTCTAATTTTCTACTACAGGCTCATAGAATATAAAATTAGTTATACAGATATTAAAAATAATCATAATACTCTTTTCCTTGTTAAATAAGTAAAAGCCAGTTCTTGATGCCAGAGTCATTTCAAGGGAATAAAAACCAAGTTAAACCTCATCCAAATTTACTAACATATTTTTAGGTATAAAATGAGATAATTAAAATCTGACATCTGTACATTATTCTAAGAGCATAACATTACATTCTGCTACTAAATTTCTCAACAGTGCTAAGGAGGAAAAGAGGCTTGGACCTACAGTATCAGGGGATAATAAAATCTAGAAACCGTAATAAAATATTTGAAGTCTATATCCAGCCTACAAAGTAACAAGATTATTTTAGGCAAAGTGTGATTACTATCAGTAGCCGAATTTGCAAGAGTCAAAGTGTTATCATAATACTTCAGTTTTCAAGATAAATAATTTACTTTAAAAAAGATTTCTTAAAGTCTTTTAACTGCTGAAGGGCAATAAAATACTCAGTTTAAGGACATCAATATACATACCAGTTGTATAAAACTAGATATATGCATAGATATATGCATTCTAGTTGATAACTTACGATGAAACAGGATCATCTAGTGGTTAAAAGTTAACCACTTGTTAAGATAAGGGTCTTTAAGCTCTTGTTCTGTAATAAACCAAATTTTCTATGAACTTCAAACATGATCATTGATTGTAAGTAATTTTCAACTCTGGCTGTACATTAGAATCACCTCAGAGCTTTAAAAAATATACCCAGGCCCCAACTCAAACCAATTACATCTGAATCTCTGTTGTTGTGGCCTGAGCATGGGCATTTTCTACAAGCACCAATAGTCCAAATATGTATGTTTTATGTATACACCGTTAGAAAGGAACAACTTTGCCTGATAAAGCTTTGCTTATTGGGGAGATCTAGGTAATTAACATATACCTAGTTCTCTCAAATGCTTTTTTCTTAAATCTCTTCCATTCACTTATTTGTTCTTCACACATTGTTGAATTCTAGAAAGTACCAAACTTTATGCCAGGCAGTAAGGAAAATAGATAAGTAAGATCTAGCCCTTACCTTTAAGAAACACACCTCTCTATCGTTGAAAGATAGTTTGTGGAAGGGAGATAACATGATGGTTAAGAGTGTGCTTTGGAGTCAGACCAGTCAGAATTCAGCTCCCAACCCTGACACTCAGTATGTGACACTGGGCAGGTTATGTAAAATATCTGAGTTTCAGTTTGTCTGTAAGATGAGTGTTATATTATGGACCCCAGAGGGGAGCTTTATGGATTAAATGCTTCTTAAATAATTAGCATTTTGCCTAGAAAGAATAAGTACTCAATAGATTATTTATATAACCCTCATATATATCTTCCAAATCCTTCACCAATTCCAAATCAGTTAAGCAGAATGTATTCTGAATCCTCTAAATGACAATACCACTATAGTACAATTCATAATGGTAATGTTTAACTTGTTATTTTTATCAGGTAATCTGTCATCTAGTTAGGTCTCTAGCATTTGAATGAACACAATGCAACAGATGACTCTAATGGGATGAATACTTACACTGAAAACACAATGATTTTGAGTGTCATGGTATTTGAAAGCTACCATGGTATTAAAGTATATGAATAATTTTCATAATATCATCTAATAATGATTTCTTTTTTTCAACTTGTTCATTATACATGAGGCACCTGTGTAGTAGTTTTTATATATTTTTTAAGGAACTAAGTTTTTCTTTAATTAATTGAGAGAATTCTTAAGCCACTTCAAAATCTGCCCAAAATGTAAGAAATAAATGATTTTTAGACAAAGGAGATAACAAAGTCCGCTTTTTTATGTACATGCCACTAATTTTGTGTATAATGTTCTATTTGATTCCATAAAGGGATTTTAGAGTAATAGAAGACACAGCTTCTACCAGTAGGCAGTATTAGTAATTTTCTTTTATTTTTCCATTGACTAATGTCGATGACTACAAAAGAGTAGGTATCAGTGCTTAAAAAAATCTGTTCTGCCCAATATATACAGCAAATATCTGGCAAAAGAAAGGCTCACAGTAATATTTTTGTTTTTGTTCTTTGGATTGTGTTCCTGATTCACAGTCTAATCAGTTTCTAGCATCCCAGTCATGATCATACCAACATAAGCTTGGGCAAGAATTTGAATTTTATAATTCTTCTCCATTTCAGAAGTGCGTAATGAATTAACAAATGAAAGGCACAGTTCCTAGTAATAGTTTTGTGATTCATTTTAAATGTTATTATTTCAATGGTATTATTTTTATAATTCCTTAATGCCAGCCAAGTGCCAGCAATTAAATGCCACTTCATGATGTTATGCTACTAGAAGTCCATAAGAAAGTGATCTGTTAAAGGACTTCTTTTTCATAAAAACATGTTGACAATTTTGCTGTGAACCTAAAGCTACTCTAAAAAATAAAATCAGTTAAAAAAAAAACCTGTGCAGGCAACTAGCTCAAGTAGTGGAAGTTGATCTTAGAAACTCAAGGAAGTCAAGACTGTTTCTCATTTGACAGTATTAATTTTTTTTTAAATGTTTTATTTATTTATTCATGAGAATCACAGAGAGAGAGAGAGAGGCAGAGGCAGAGGGAGAAGCAGGCTCCCCACCCAGCAGGGAGCCCGATGTGGGACTCGATCCCAGGACCCTGGGATCATGATCCGAGCCGAAGGCAGACGCTTAACCATCTGAGCCACCCAGGCGCCCCGACAGTATTAATATTTATCAAATACCTAGATCAGTTAATTTAGTTGTTTAAGTATTTCAAACACCCTATTTTTTTTAAGGTACAGGAAAGTAAATTCCTTTGGATGAAGAAAATTATTTTCTAAGTGGCAAAACAACTGTTTTGTAAGGTTGGATTTCTGGTCCATTCAGCATGTATCCTTTTGTATATTGTCAGGTGTTGAAAACGCAAGTGAATCATATGAAAACTTACAGAAGGTTTTACATAAGAGCAGACTTGGGTAGAAGAGGCATGAAAGGATTGTAAAGTGGGATTAGACAATATGACCAGTGAGGACAACAAACCACAAAGCAGGGAATGAAAGTCTTGAGAAAAGCACTCTTTGCATAGTTTTTTGTTACCTACTAGTAGGTAATTAATGTTACCTGCTCTACCTTAGAGTTGATGCTACTCTTTGTCATTGAAGCTAATCTTTAAATTGTGCCTCTTCTGTTTGCGTTTCTTTGGTAGAAGCCCAAAAGGGCATTACCATTATTTTGAAAGTATTAAAAAAAGTGTGAATGAAAAGTTTGGAGACAAACTATGTCCATCAAATCGAAGACTCTGTGACATTCATTATAAGAACCTTGACATTTTGCATCCCTCCCCCAGCCAGTGTTGAATAAGGCTACAAATCCAAATCCAATCCCTCAACTGGGAGTCACTGTGAACCCCCATACCTTGCTCTTCTCTCCGCATTTGCATAGAGCTATATCTCCTTTGTATTTCCATCTTTTTTTCAATGAATACTGTATTGGTGTATAAGTAATATATTTCAGTTGAAAGTCACTTCTGATTTCCTTCTTTATATTTCACTTTATCCATTCCTTCTCTGTGCTAAAGTATCTGTTCTGTTGCAGCCGCTCCTCTCCATGTCTTGGTCGTGACAACAGCAGGTGAACTTCTGCATAATTCCTTCTCTGACCATGTGGCCTCCCCCTCTGCCTCTTTCACCATCACCTTCTGCATATACCCCATCTCAGGATGCTTTAGTGTGAAGATACCTAGCCAGAGAGACAGAGAGAGATTTATTTTCTCCAAATTGTGGCCATTGCTGAATTCCCTTTCTCTATGGTGGAAAGAAAATGGGTACTTTTTAAAATTTCTTTGGAAATCAGGCGGGCTTGCACCAAAATTATTGTAGACCTACTGTGAAAGCCTGTTTTGGCCATGGGTCTCCACGTCTCCATTTCTTTTGTAGAAAAAGTGCTACATAGAGCTGAAGAATGTCATT